CATTGAAAGTTTGTTCATCTTTTTTAAAATTGGGTCATGATCGAAATAAGATGAAATTCAATATCCATTCGAGAGTTTAGTCATTCAGAAATATTAAATATTGTATAACCCTACATTAATTAAGCGTTAACACAGCACATTTAACTAATTTATTGTTCACATATACACAAAGACATTTCTATAACATTATGTATTTATGTACATAATCAATATAATACAATAATTATAAATTATAGCCACAAATGCACATTTACTTATATCTAGAAAATATACCTTGATATGATCAACAATATACATTAAATTATTATATATTTATATGATTTGTAGTATTATTTTATTATATTTGTTTTACAATGAAGCATAGAAACTATATTAGCTAATTAATGTGCCTTATAACTTTATTTTAATTACGATAAAATAAATACTATACAGCATTAAAACAACAAAACATTTTTGTTCAATGGATGAATACTATCCATCATGCAAATATTTCAAGAAATAAAATTATGGTTCTCTTCTCTTGTCATACATCAGCTACTTACAATGACAAACATAGGGGAAAATATTAGATCCCATTCTGCATCAAATACAAACTATCATAAAAAATATTTGGTTCAACAAAACAACTTGCACTAATAATTTACTTCTTTTCCACTTTAAATAATAATAATAATAATAGTAACTCAGACTAGGTCTTAATTAATGTAAATGTAAAAAAAAGTATACTTTATCTTTAAATCAAAATTTAAATTTAATGAATACTTTAACAGCTCAAAAACCCTTAATAATATACAATGAGGTCACTGTTTATAGAGTTTATTGATTGATGTCACCAATAATTACAAAAGATTTCTAATACTCAACCTGTTTAACAAATGAGTAGCACTCAAGTGTTATAGATGACAACCAAAATTTCAGATCACAGTATCTTCAATGACATTACAGGGAAGGAAAATTTCAAGATTATTCATTAGAACTTTTTGGCACAGAAATATGTCCTAGTCTAGTTTTATTATAAATATCAAATGGAAACTAAATAGTTGAAATATTAAATAAAATAGCAAATTGTATTTCATTGGAAAAAATGTAAATATTTTTAGTTTCAAATGGTTTTAAGTAAAATAAAAAGTTCCAATAAATTCAAAGTAACCATTACATTTTCTTACATGAATGTGAATATATATTCAGAAAAATTACAAAAATAGTTATCGATTTACATTAGATGAGTTCACTTCTACACAACCAAATAATAGCGTAACAAAAGAGAGCTCACTAGAGGACTTTCATTTAATTAAATGATTAAAAATCTTCAGAAATATTTTAATAAAGCAAAGCACATCGTAATAGAGGCTTAAAAGATTCTATACAACAACATGCTTTGATAATTGGCAAGAATTTAGCTTTTTGAAGTTTTTTTGATAATTGTTTGTTCTTTCAATCCCGTAAAAAAAAAAAAAATAAAATGGAGTAGAGATTTATGGTACAACACATAGCATGCATAGTTAGTCAAAGTTTTGAAAAGTTAATATGAACTATATTTTCGTCAAGTACTCGACCGATTTGTCACAACTTAGTTTAAAATTAGGAACATCAAATTATAATTAATTCCTCTCTTCCAACAAATAAAGTGTACATTATGAGTTAGTGTGCTACTTTTTCAATAGTGAAAAGTATACTATCACAAAAATTAAATAAAGACTTTTTTTTTAATAATAAATATTTATTAGAAATGCTATTGCAATTAAGATGCAAATTTAAAATTTAGGTGATTTTAAAAATTGTAAATATGGGCTGTTCAGTAACATCATATCTAATATAACAAACCCATTACACCAATCAACACTAGATTTATTCAACTAAAAATTAGCATACAATTTTCATAAGCCTAATATAATAACCAATAGACTATATAAAATTTGAAAATTAATTTTAAAAATTGTACACATCATATTTATTTCTACTTCACATTCTTATGGTTATATAAACAAGTTTATGGTCAAAAAACTTTACTAACCTCAAACTTAATATATAACAACTACTTGAACAAATTTAAGTAAGGAATGTCATCACGTAAATTAATACAAAATTTGCTATATTTAAATAAAATAATATAGCTGATAATGGAATGTTTACGATATTTAAATCACATTATTAATGTAAAATGTATACAAAATGGAGATCCAGGTAAATAAAAAATTTATATACTACAAACGTGACCTCTATATTCAATCGACTTTGATTTGAACTGAGACAGTAGTACTTACTGGACTTTTGCCTAATCAACCTACATCATACACAGCAATTTAAAGTCTATATTCTTATTGCTGACAAAGTGCTATCAACTCCTAATAACAATGAACACAGAGAAAACACTCCACCTTAACATTCTAAGAGAAAGACAGTCAAACAAGAATATATTAATAGATTTGAATATTATGGAAACATTATATAATGCATTAAGAATATTGAACTATTCGGAATGCTGAAATAATAGATAACATGAAGAATAGAGAGCTGGTCCCTAATGATTCAGAACATTTTTATTAATCGGTTGCTGCAATTATAATAAATTGGATAAATAATAATAATAATAAAGTACACAAAAAGGTGTTTATATTTAAAATAAAAATAATTTAAAATAAAATGAACGTAATATACTTTCAAATTTTTTAATAACTTATATTAACTCAATCTAACTTGGTACAAAATAAAAGTTATAAATAATAACATTATTATTAATAATGATAAAAACCAAGAAAGCTATTAGTTTTCAACAGTTGGGACCCTCTCTGGTTTAAAGAGTTGGGCAAAATGTATTCAAAATTAAAAATACAACTTGACAAAGTATTCATGAATACCAATTATAATTTAATTGGGACTCACAAATCCTAACAAATATTAATTACATTTTTATTCGGTACTCCCATAAGCTAATGATTATTACTAGTATTTTCCTAAATGAATACATTTACAAGTATAAATACTAATTACTTTATTATAATTTAATATGTCTAACAAAAAAAAAACAGTTATACAACACATCATACAACAACAAATTCAGTAGGAATTTAAGAAGTAGTTACAATTTGTAACATTTTGTAGTCAGTAATTGATCAAGCGCAATTACTTTTATAATAGAATACCATTTGATAAAGATATCAGGTTTTATGACAATCACTATTTAGAAAATTTGGAGATTGTTAGCTTTGATCTAGAGCTACTCATGTATTGTAAGACATCACATGATTTATGTAAATACACAGAAAATGTATTTGTGAATTATATATATACTGAGCAGTTATATGGGTCAAGGTCAATTTAAAAATACAATATAAATAGAGAAGAAACAAGACAACAAACAACTCTATAAGTTCAGAAGTGGAAATTTACAGACAAATAAATTGGACACCACCAAAAATAAAATAAAAAAGGATAATTGTGACCACAACTATCACAATGATTGCAGACGCTCAAGACAATATTGAACCAGAGTATTAGTGAATTTTTCATTTTTGATAGTTTTATTCACTTCCCACTTCTACAAACCAATAATAAAAAATTATGAACCCTGACCTTAATTCCTATACCCAAAACCATCTCACTCATATTGACTGTCCTGGTTGTCCGATCTATGTGACATGTCTCTAATGGCGATCCCCCTTTTCGAAACATGTATTATACAAACATTCCGCCCTCCTAAATAACAAAATAAAAAAGAACTATGTTTGTTTATAAATTGAGACCAACCTGCAAGCCAATTCATTCCCTTCTCCTTAAAATAAACTAAAATTGGTCCACTATAGTATATGGGGTAAATAATTTGGATCTAAATTTCATAAAAAGGTCTTTCACAGGAGTGGGAAGAACCAAGTTGTAGAAAATCACAAGAGACTGGATTTTGTAAAAGGAGGTCAAAAATAAACCATTTAACTACAGTATAGAATAACAAACTAATAATGAAAGAAATCATGAAAGCTAGAAGGTTTTCAACATGGGACTCTCAGCCGTTTTTGAAAAATCAACTGACAAATATCTTTGATAAGTATTTTTTCTTGGTTGTTACTAAAGGAGAAATATTCACGATTATAATCAATTAAGAGGAATAAAAATTACCGAAAGTATTCACAATTACTATACACGGATACTTATGTATTCAAGAGTACGAAATACTGAATAGTACAACTATTAGCCTGAAAATACCTAACAATCACAAATACAGTTTTCACATGAAACAAAATTTTTACTGAATACTGCCCAACTCTGCTTGATTGAATTTTTTTTAATCTTTATTAAGGCTGGTGTCATTATATCTAATGTTGGTTCAAAAATGACACCTGTCATAGTTAAACTGAAAATAACTAATAAAGTGTATTAAATATATATAAACTAACAGAAATATAATATAAATAAAATCAGTAGATAATGATAATCAAAAGTATAATAAAAAAAGATAAAATAATATTTTGGCTATGAGCAATAATAAGAAAGTATATGAAATCAGAAACAATTACTTGTAAAATTAAAAAACAAAACAAGTAATGAACAAACTCCACCATGAAGGATAAATATTTACAACTAAATTTTAGATATTATTTGCTATTGTTTTATCTAATTAATAGGATTTCAATGTAATACAATATAATGGAAGATTTAATAGTAAAAATAGAATATATTTATAAATATTAAAAAAAAAATTAAACTAAATAAATAATACTAATAATAATGATAACAAAGACTTAAAACCTATTATCAGTTCTGTTTTTGATAGATAAGATTTTTAGATCTTAATTTATACACTTAAAGAGTATTACCAATGGAAAGTACATAAAATTCATAAAGTACTAAAAAAATTGCACGTAATTCTATATTTCGGAAGAAAATTGTATGATAGTTAATCAATTATTACAAAAAAATAAAAGAAATTACATAATTGAAATAATTTATAAGCTATTGACAATGAAAACTTAAAATGAAATATAATTTAAAAAAAAAGTAAATTATAGCGTTCAGTCAAGAACAATTGAAAAAATTATCAAGTAAAGTTCATCTAATGTAGAGGTACACCCATTAAAAAATATAGAATGGTGGAGGATAATTACCTCGACTAGTACAGAAGAAATATTTGCTTAAAGGAATATTTAAATTAAAAAAAAAAAAAAATTTAAAAAGAGATTACATAAAGGAGATTCTACTAGACTGGAGGAGGGCTGATACTGATCGAAGTTGCATTCTCAACCAAGTTAAGATTAGATTTGTTGCTGTTACCCAATTGTTGCTGGGCTGCCTGGACCCGCATTTCCTCCAGTGGGGCTCTGAAAACAGCATCTATTAAAATTAATTCTTATAGTCGGAAAAATATAACAATAGCAATAAGAATTTTATCAATATATCGAACTTGAAATATATGGTCTAGAACTCAAAAATAGAAACTACTTTTTTTAGTTTAACATTTCACTCGTTATCTAAAGGAGAAATATTTTTCTCTGAATACATACTTGAAAATATTAACTAAGAAGTTACCTTGAATCGAACGAGGATTGCAGCTTTAAGTTTAAAATAAATTTTTATTTAAGTAGGTAATATTTTAAATAGATTTAGTTTTTATTTCTATAAATCCGACTTCATTCCTCTAAGTAATAAAATTTTAAAAATATAATAAACCATTTTAAGAATACTATGACAACAATTTAGAGACTAATCGGCATGAATAAATGCAATTATTTATTAAACCTTAATGATGAAAAAGATACAAATGATTTTCTTTACATAATAATGGTGCACAGTAGGTGTTCATGAAAAGACAGTGGTGCATTAAAAAAACAAAACAAAAACCACTGTGAAACAAGTATTTTTAACATTCTCGTTAAAATAATTCATATGTAACAGATTTCTAATGCTTTATTGAATGCTTTGGATTCCTTAAATAGTTTATTTTTATCTGCCTGCACTATTAATTAAACTAAATTGATGATATTTAAAACCATTTGATAACCATTTGTTTTCAATTATTTTCAATAAAACTATTTTTTCAAGTGAGAGAAATAAATCACTTTAAGCTTTGGGTAACTAGTAAAGAATTTGAATTAAATCTTGAGTTATCCAAGAATCAACTGTATATTAATCATAATATAAAAGGAATTGACTTCATATAATGATTATTTTTGATCAATTAAAACTAAAAACCAATATTTAGAAGAAAAAAAAAATACTAAGCTTTAAAGTATACATTAAAAAAACAAAAAACATTTTAGTTACTTTACATAAATGCTTATTTTGTAAGAGCAAAGAAATCTACTGGCAATTTACAAAATAACATAGCTCCATAGAAATAATGAAAGGAATATTAACAAGCAAATTTAGCAGAAAAAAATATAATTCAATAGGAAGAAAATTGAAAATGATAAAATGAACTAATTTAGCATAATAAAGAAGCTTGTAAGAAACTTTTCAACAAAAATACCTAAATATGAAATAAAGCTTGCAACTAGTGCTATAAGGATAGGTACAATACAAAAAAAAAAAAAAAAAAAAAAAAAAAAAAAAATGATTACAAGAAAAAAAAAACAGCTGAACGATGTTATAGTCATGTGTTACCATAAACTGTGAAACCTTTTAATGGATGGTTGTTCTAGCCTTTTTATGGAATCCCCTGATTTTTTCAGCTCATGTTTGAAAAATCCAATAATCAAAATACTATTTTTTTTTTTTAAATGATGTTAATTAACAATAATTTAATATAACTGGTACAATATTTAACATATTAAATACCGTAATCCACAATACCTATAAGAATTTTTTTTTAATATTATGTTGATAAGCTCTTTAAAAAAAAATTAAATAGCCTCTCTTTTGTATAAAATAAAAATATAAAAACAGCCTCTCTGACTCTTAAAACAATAGAGACATCATCTGTAAAATTGAGTTTTTAACTATTTTGGCATAAAAACATAACAGCCTATTACCAATATTGACACAGAACCGTAGTCGTAATAAATAAAATAATAGTTTGTCATGAAAAATCTATGAAAAGCCACAATTTGTTAGATATGTCATATGCATATTTTTATATTTATCATTATCACATAAAATTTTTGACATCAACAATGATTATGAAATATAATAGAAAATGCATGATTATGCCCTATTTTTTTAATTCCCTTAATTTTGATATTTTTCCACAAAATGTGACAGAAAAAAAAGAAGCATAAAATGAACTTTTTTAAGTACTAAAAGTCTCGTAGATATCCTTCCACGATATATACAACAAATAAATATATAGTATGAATTATGAGAGGGCAACATGAAGGAACTTAGTTATTTTACAGCATTCTTTATAAAATATATATGCTATGATAATAATTACATTAAACTAATAGCCATTTAAGATTTCAGCAAGAACAGTTTAAATATTTATATTATATTTCTATGAAATTCCGCAACTAACGCCAATGATTATTTTAGATAACTGAGTATATATGATGTAAAGAATTATATGGTACATAAGTGTGAGGATTGATTGAATATAAAATGCGTGTTTATAATTAAGAACAAAAACAAATATTTCTCAGAAGAGTATTTCACCAACAAGCACTTAAAATAACAATGTTCATTCCATCTTCCAGCAAGGATACTTCAACATTTTACAAAAAAACTACCATTTCTTGTATAACAAAAAATGATAAACAACAACTATTCTACAACCAAAATCTACAAAGAAAAAAATGAAATAAATTCACTACACAAGTTGAACTAAAAGAAATAAAGAAAAAGTATAGAAGTGCTACAATGAATGATAGAAACAGTAATAATGAAGCATGCCTTTGTGTACTTATGTTGGTCTCCAAACATCAGGGTCCTCCATAAGGGTGCAATCGGGCGCAGCGGGGTGGCTTACTCCTGTAGGAGAAGCCATCACTGCCATATCATCTCGTGAACCCCTGATTCGATCAATGATATCAACACCAATTACCATTATGTACCCCCAAACACTCCCATAAGATCTTTGCTTTTTTAATTTTTTTTTTTGTTTACTAACACTAATGTATCATAAATATATTTTAAACAGTGATCATATTACAATAAAATAATTAAATATCTTAGATGTTACTTCATGTCACAATTGTATTTCAGTTTGGTGATAGAAAAGCAAAGATATTGTAAAAACGTAATATAACAAATGTTTTAAAATCACTCATCTTCAAAAGTCTCTATGATAAATAACAAATAATACAAAAATATATATTAATTGAAAAATCATTAGAGTTATATATTTAGATATTTCTACATAACATAACTGTTAACTTTTATTTTATTGAACAAATGAGTCAGAACAGTAATAGAATTCACAGAATAAAAAGAATTCTAATCTCATCCACAATTGGCTGGTCTTAATAATATACAAATTTGAACAGCAAGAGATAGAAAAACTGTAAAATAATTCCAAGACAGCACCTGTTAATAAGCCAAATTATTGTTGCAATAAATAGTATATAAATCCGCCATATAATCCAGGCAATGAATGGTCCAAAAGGGGGTGTAAAGTGCATGAGCAGAGACCTAAACAATTCCTTTAGTCAATTTTTCAGGATCCTTAAAGTGTAAACATATCAAAAGTCCTGATGTCTAGGTGGTGAGCTGTGAGGGAGAGGGAAAGATCACAGTTCTCAGGTTTCCACTTATATCTTCAAAGTGGTGCGTCCCAGGGAAAAATTGTCTTATAATGAATGAAAGTAAATAAAATTATCTACAACTTTTATTCTATAGGTCTTTCCCGAATTCTCAACCGTTTTCCAGCTTCATGCTAGGAAAAAGTTTACATTATCGAAAAAAGCTATACATTAGCATCAGAAATTCATTTAAAATAAATTGTAGAGACTTAAATTCCCTATTAGTATATATATATATATATATATATATAATATATATTAATTGTTTTAAATGAAGTTATACCACCATTTTCATTTAGACTTTCTTTAAGAAAATACCTATCTGCTCTAAGATTGGTTAGTGAAATTTGAGTAATGTGTGCACTGCACCAGTGTTTTTTTTTCATGTTTTATTCTTTGATTATTCAGCTTTAATAAAATGCCAATTATGCCATTTATGAAAATTACATTTTATGAAAAAGTTTAAAATAGCTGTGATTTTATATATATATATATATATATATATATATATATATATAATATATATATATATATATATATATAAAATCACAGCTATTTTAAACTTTTTCATAAAATGTAATTTTCATAAATGGCATAATTGGCATTTTATTAAAGCTGAATAATCAAAGAATAAAACATGAAAAAGAAAAACCTGGTGCAGTGCACACATTACTCAAATTTCACTAACCAATCTTAGAGCAGATAGGTATTTTCTTAAAGAAAGTCTAAGTGAAAATGGTGGTATAACTTCATTTAAAACAATTAATTACCATATTTTCCATGTCCATCAAATCAGTTAAATTTACACATTTGCAGCACTTTCCCATTTACTTTTACAACTGTGTATAATATCAAACAATACTAATGATTGTAGAGAAAATGGATCTTTTGAAAAAATTCTGAGTTTTATCGGAAACACTTATCACAAACCTTGTCGAAAAATTATCTTAATGTTCATCAATATTGCATATTATTAGATTTATATTAGCAAATCTTCAACATCTTGCATGAAAACTTTTTAAAGAATGATGGATAAGTGATACATAGAAGTTAACCTAACAATATGAAAGCTGTGTACAGAGGGGCATCGGGTATCTGTAAAGGGAAAGGATCGGCAAAGGTCAGACGCTCTCGGCTAAACAGCTGAGCTTACAACATATAGTTTCCTACCTTTATTAGCCCTTCAGTTACCAATTAATTTTCTTCATTCACTATATTTAGCTATTTTTAATAGCAGGTTCAAATGTGAAATAGTTTTTAGAAATTATTTAAAATTAAAAAAAATTAAACGTACTTTAGAGGAAGACATTTTGAAAAAATCAACATTTAAGCCCTGTCAGGTTGCATAAATGAGGATAAAACCTAACTTAAATGAAAAACCACTTAATAATAAACTAATCTAGTGAGTTTAATCAAAATCTTTAGAACCATTTTTGTGAAAATTGTAAAAATGTGTTAAATCGATGATATAAAGTACCACTTCCGGTTTGCTCATTTTGACGAAAAAGCTGCAATAACATCCCAGGCATATACAAACCTTAAATAGGCAATATCAGTTTTGTAAGACTTCTTTGTTTTTGAGCTATGCTATTTGCACATACACACCATTTTGCAGGGACTTGGTCATTTGGACCCAGGGGATCACAAAATGACGGGGTGACAAAATATATATATATATATATATATATGTAAGTAAAAATAATAATTGTTTTAGGCAATTAAAATACTAGTAGCCAATTTATTGATATTTATTTATTCCAATCTTTTAGTATCACATCAATGATTCTCGCACTCACATGTGCCCCTCAGCTGGTCATTGATGCAAACTCTTTGATTTTTGCTGAAGGGGATTTGTTTTATTAATTCATGATCTAGAACCTTCTCGATAATTTTCCGCACAATAAAAAAAAATTGTTATCGGTATCCATGAAGATATTATGTCAACTATTTTATTTTTGTTTGTTTTATCTGACTGCAACCCCCAACCATACTATCAACATTCAACCATTTATTCACTACTCATCTTAATGATGAAAGATACATATAAATATTTTATCATGTGAATCAAGACTTCATCCGTCTGGGTATGGCGATGTGTCTAATGGATGGTAATTTGATATCTTTTCTCACCAATCAGACAGCAATGGATATTAAATTTAGTTTCTAGATGCAATTTTCATAATCTGAACATTTGCAGATTTATTTAAAGTGACATCAGAAATGGTTTTTCATCTCGGCTACCTTCAACGGCTCTGGTTGGGAGCGCCAGGGCTGGTGATAAATGATAGATAAATAAATTTCAAAGAAAACGGTTCCATAACTTATGGTATTTCAAATAATAAATATTACCACTTGTAAAGAAAGTAAGAAGAAATCTGAAATTGAAACAATGACCTAGGAATTTTATAAGAAAAGATAAAAAGCCAGAAGTGAAAAAAAAAGAAAATCCTATTCTAAGAAGTCAATTTCAAAAGGTTTGTTTGCTTATTTTGATTTTTAATGATAAAAAATGAACCTGAAATTTCATCTTGAATGTCAGTTAATTTTATTTTTTCTATTATTCTTAATACTTAATTGAATTAATAAAAATATGGAATTATATGCATCTATCATCAATTATAAAATATAAAATTTGAACAATTGATCTGAGTACACTGCTTTGTAAAAATATTTGATCAAGCAGTTACAAAACTGAACGCTAACAAAATATGATGAATTACTGATTTTCATATAGTAAAAGTTCTGATAGTAGAGAAAATATTCTTTGAAACCTAAACATGAAAGTGATATAACAAAGAAGTAAAATACATAAAAGAAGTATTAAGTTCCCAAATTTGGACATTATAATATTTATTTATTCTACTTAGTTCAGTAAACTTGGAAAACAGATTACAGAAAACAATAACTGTACAACTAAAACGAAAATACAGATAGTAGAGTAAATGTAATTGTTTGAAATAATTAATTTAAAAAAAAAAGAACGTAAAATAATCAATGAAGTACCGTTGTCTTGTTATTTGCTGATAATGTCAAAGAACAGGTTTAAAACAAAAATAAAATTTTGCGTTTTTTAAACTTCTTTTTCTTCCTTCTCCTTTGATTTATCTAAACATTAATGTATTTATGCAATAATTTCTCACTTTTATAAAGGTTTTGAAGTCAATTTGTTTTGAGTGGTATAAAGTCAAGCAAATAGAACAATTTTTATCTCCTGGCAATATATTATAACATTATGAATTATTTATATATTTCTCCTGAAGTTGTAAACATATAGTTAGTATTTTTTTATATATTAACTAACTCTAATTTTGTAATCTAATTAAATTAAATTAGATTAAAGTCAATTAAGATTTAATTAGTTTCATTGATGAAAAAAATGTTGATAAATAATACCAGTTATTTCATCACTCAATAATAAATAAATTAAATTTCCCTTTTACTCACTTCTTTCCAAGAGCCATAATACCATACAGAACACCACATCCGATGATAAATCCACTTCCGAAAAAGCTACCAAGTCCTATGCACAATATTATAGGTGGGAAACCAATTCTAAAAATAAATAAATGCATGATTTAATAAATAAAAATGATTATGTGAGATGATGGTTGAAGATATAGTAAAAAAGGAAAGTAATAAAATATTTTACTGCATATTCAGCCATTATCTTCTAGAATTTATACACACACTGCCTAATGAATTCAGATAACATAGTTTTGAATGCACATTAACCTTAATTCTTAAAAAATTAAATATTGTAATAAACAAAATATATATATATATATTTTTTGTATAAGAAAGTTGGTCTTCCTTCCTGTGAATTCACCAAGTTACATTCCATTTCTGGAACCAATTATTCATTGAACTTTACTTCTACTTTTTTAACAACTTTTATAAGCCAAGATTGATCTGTCAACTGTAAACATGATCACCAATGGTATTGTTGCCATACACCAGGAATAGGAGGGTGGTCTGAAACGTTTCCGACTGCAACATGAAGATGTCAGCACTTGTAAATAAAAGCCAGTGAATTTCGTTGTTCATCGATTGACAGTTACCCACCAAAGTTTCAACCATTTTGGATGCGCAGTTCTTAGGCAACAGTCATTTGAGTGAGTCGATGTGAGTGGTTTTGTGAAAATGGACAAAATCAGGTATCAAGCTGCCATTAAATATTTGTTTTTGAAAGGCAATACACCTACGCAGATCAAAGATGAGTTGGATTCTGTGTACGGAGACTCTGCACCATTATTTACCACAGTGAAATTTTGTGCAACTGAATTTAAACATGGCCATAAGATCTTGTGAGACAATGAACGTTCGGGACATCCAAAACCTGTAACTACCAACGAAACCATCACTAAAGTTAACCAAATGATGCTAGACAACCGCCGAATTAAAGTGAGAGAGATAGCAGAGGTTTTGAACATGTCAAAAGAACGTGTTTGCTACATATTGAATCAACATTTAGATATGAGAAAGGTGTCTGCACGTTGGGTGCCGCGTTCAAATGAACATTTCCAACATTCTGTTAGCGCAGTTTAGGTGCAATAAATCCGAGTTTTGGTGCCAATTAATTACTGTAGATGAAACTTAGATACACCATTATATTTCTGGAACAAAAATACAGTCCAAACAGTGGACTGCAAAGGGAGAGCCAACTCCAAAAAAAGCAAAAACTGTTTTCTTGCCTGAGAAAACGATGGTGACTGGTTTTTGGCACAGTCATGGTATTATTCTAATCGACTATCTTTAAAAAGAAAAAATCATTACAGGAGCATACTACACATCATTGACAAGCTGAGGGCAGAACTCGCGGAAAAACGGCCACATTTGCAGAACAAGAAAATTGTGTTTCACCAAGACAACGCACCGTCTCACACCTCAGCGGTTGCCATGGCGAAAATCCACAAATTACGGTTTGAAATGCTTGACCACCCGCCTTACTCACCAGATCTAGCCCTAAGTGACTTCTTTTTGTTCCCTTATCTAAAAATTGCGCTCAGAGGACAGAGATTTTTGTCAAATGAAGAGGCAATCACCTTCATGAACAATTATTTAGCAGAGGAAAAACGATGAGTACAATGGCGTTACAGAGATGGAAGTACAGAGATTATGTTGAAAAAAAAAAAAAAAAATGTCTTGTATTTTTATTAGGCTGGAAACTTTTCAGACCATCCTCGTAGCATGTTCAGGTGATCTTGAAAACAGCTACCATCTTGGAGTAGCGAAATGAGACTAATGCTAAAATTAAGGCCCAAATTTAAATTTATTGACTGAATTAGGTTATTTTATTCTAATATCATCAATTGTGGTTTTGCTCATTCCCATAAATAAATTACAGTACTAGTTCCATAGTCCCATTTCACTATTGACATATGTAAGTATATGGGTGTTATTAGATCCTTCACATTTCTGCTGAAAATCTTTATTGAAAATTAAGTGCAAGAAAACTATGTAAATAGTTAAACCCCAGCCCACAACTGACATGAGTAACCTAAATGGAGAAGGATCTGAACAAGTTGTGTGCTCTCAGCTGTTTCTGATTTCACTTACATTCACCTATGCACGCACGTAATTACAATAGGTCAATTAAAATTGAATCAATATACCCCTCCCAACTGATAAGATATGGAGGAAATATGCATAACAATAAAACATCTGTAGAAAAATTACCCGATTATGAGATCAGAATTCTGTAAAATAAGAAATTAAATTATTTCAACAATTATCGTATATAATTATTACTGATGTAGAGATGGTTGACAGTGATATAATGAGAAGGAGTAAGACGGGGGTGCGGTCAAATAAATACTAAATTTTTAATTAAGTATTTTAATTGTTAAGCCAAAAAAAATAGGTGTAACAATTAAAATACTTTCTTAAAAATTTAGTATTTGTTTTACCGCACCTCCCGACCAACTCCTTTACATATAATTATTATTATTGACCATTTAAAACAGTATAAAAATTAAAAAATTGTTCAAACATACTGTCAATGTTTTTTAAAGTTAAAACTAATATATCTTTAAAAATTAAACTCTTAACACTCTAGATTAATTTCCTAAGAAGTAGTGAAACTTTCCACAAATGAAAGACAATAATTTTGATAATTTGGTTAACCCTAAATTCTTAAAATATTTGGTAATTATGGTTCTCAAATCTTTAAATAAAAATATTTGTCTGAGGGCATAAAATGTTTTTGGTAATACTGTATAAGGCCACTCTTGGTCTTCCATTTAAGGTGCGATCAATTACAGTGGAGGAACATTTATACATTAATACCTGATATATCAATAAAAACATTATTAAATGTATGGGAGAATCGCAGGTGACTCAAAACTTGGAAAGTCACCCCTTGGCATCCCATTTTAATATAGTCACGATTAGCAACACAAAACAATACTTATGTATTTGTGAGTTATAATCATGACAGATAATACAAATTCAAACATATGTATGTATTTATTTCAATATTGTCTAGCCACTTACAACAAATAGAAGACTGCACGATGCCAAAAAGGCCTTTTGTCAGCCCAATCACTGAATGTGTGGACAAAATCTATGAAGAAACAACAGCAAGGAGCTTCAATAACAATGACTACAAATCCTGCTATCCTTAAAACAATAATAAGATGTTATAATAGACATATAATTGTATACCCAGAATGTTAAAGTTTAATGTAGGTTTGGTACCTAATTACTTACATTTGCCACATGCCACTTAATAAACAATCTACACCACCAAAAAGGATTGAAAAACAATTCCAAAGACCCAAAAATATAGCGACTGAAACATAAGAGTACAAAAGAACAATTAAATGTAACTGTATCAAGAAAGCATATTGTAATTCAGTTATAGTTTAATAATAAAGCAGTCTGACTTCCACCACCACAAGTTCCAAGTGCTCTTGCACCATATTTAAGCCATAAAGGTACTTCATCTTTTGGCACAACATCTTCACCGGGTCTTTTCCAAATGGTACCGACTTTTTCCATGAAAGACTGTAACAAACAGAACACATACAGCTCATATATTCATGATAGTATAAAATATTGAAAGTTTATCTATTTCATACCATTTTGGAATATGTATTATTAAATGAATATGACCACGAATTATTAAAACAAAAATGAATGAAATGTTGAGTTTGAAAGGGCAAGAACTCTCAACACTTAACCTGTACTTCAATCAGATGTTACCATAAATCGTTATGATCAGCCAACACTTCATGAAATTAAAATTATTGAAAGCAGTAGGAGGATTATAAGTTATTACAACTAAATAAGTTCTATATTAACTTTAATTTTGTTTAGCATTTAATAATATTAGACTTTAAATAATTTGTTAATACGTCGATAATTGTTAATGCTTCAAAACTTAAATGAATAAAATCATTATTTATTTGTTTTAGAAAATATTTAAAATTCAAGTTAAATAATTTGTCTTATTGCTAAAACTGGCCCGAATATTAAAATTTTCTGGTTGAACAGAATATAGATTTGAACCAGGCGGGGTTGTGCGTCTAATAGGAGAGATGACAGCTGCTGCCAATGTTTTGCTATTATTTTGGCAAAGATATTTAGGATAATGTCTGCCAAGGTGCTGAAGTTTTACAGCCTATGGGCTGTAATTTAATGAATTTCCCCAATAAACTGAACCAGTTACCTTGTTATAATTACTTAAAGATTTTATTTTAATGATTATTGTAAAGCCTTGTTGAATTGTTTATTCGACCAGCTGGAGTTGACACTCAGACGACAGGACCCTTCTTTATAACGTCAGAATGAAAATTACTACTTTACTTCTAAATTTAGATTAGGTAAGCGAATTATTACCTTTATGATCACTATGTATTATGTGATTTAATGCGGCATTAGAAAGACAACTCATCCCTTCAGAAAGAAAAAATTGAGGAGATGAGCGTCTTTGTTCTATTGTTTTGGGTTGTCAGCTGTCATGTACGTGTTTCAGCTTGCACACCAGACTAATGACCTTGCTTGAATTAAAGAATTATGTTAATAGATAATAGATACAAACCATTATTTCTGTATTTTAGATGTTTTCTTTTCTGCTTTCAATAAATCAATATCAACCATTAAGGTGTTCACTTGGCTTCCATAGAATGGAAACAAGTTCCATTGTTGTTATTAGTGGTTAGCAACATTTTGTTTATTTTTAAAAATTTTATTATGATTTTATATTTTCAGTTTTTATGCTACATTATTATTATCTTAGGTTTGGTTATTTTAAGCAATTTTAATATTTATTTTTTTATTTTTAGTAGAACTACTAAAAAATAGCTTATATTAAGCTATTATAAAGAGAAGATATGCTCAATTGACAAAATAGTGAGCTATATTAGCTCAAGCTTTATTACACCTCTAGTAAAAAAAAAGGCCAATGAATGATGCTGTATATATTTCTCGTGGACACGGGAAATATGCTTTCCGTGGATATGAATTTGGCCCTGGAGGAGTAAGTAATAAAAATAATAAACTGTTCTTAAGTAATCTGTTTTCTATTTAATTTAATGATGTAACTGGAATTCTATTGATAATCATCTATTGGTTAAAATTAAATTTATTTCACCATCAATCTTAATATCAATGTTATTTATTTATTTTTGTGTTTCTTATAATGGTATTTTGTTAATATTTTACTTATTGCCTAATTTTTTGCAATACTCAAATGATCAGTTCAAATTTTTGATATGGTATTTATGTTGATCAATCATCTTGCTTTTGTATTATTATTGAATAAAAATTAAATAGAGCATTTTTTATATAAGATAATAGTCCTTGGTACAGACCCCTTTTTATCAAATTATTAAAATCCACCTGAAATTTATTGAATAGCTTCATCTCATTGTAAAGTACAAATATTATATTTACAAAAATTCTCAGAATTAGAGCGTTTTCAATCTGCAAATGGGCAAACTTTGTCTATTTAATTAGGTACTAAAAACTACCAAGTACCCATTTACTTTCCACTTGAATTGTTAGATAATTTGAGTACTAAAAGTTGGTCTTAAAAAATATTTAGCCATTTGGTGTGACCTAGACCCTCAAATTATAAAAATAACGAGATTATATAGGCCAAACGGTTCAATATTTTTGTAGGCCACTTTTTTTTCCTTTTTTTTTTTCGATTTTATGATCAAATTATCTCACGATTCAAGTTGAAAGCAAATGGTATTTATGAGTTTTTAGTACCTAATTAACTAGACAAAGTTTGCTGACCTCCAAATTGAAAACGCCCCAATTCCAAGATTTTTTGTAAATAAAATAGTTGTAGGTTACGATGAGATGAAGCTATTTCAGGCAGATGTTAATAATTTGCTAAAAAGGAGTCTGTACCACGGACTATAATATTTCTGTTTCATTTTATATTATTATAAAAATAAAGTCTAATATGTCTGCTGATTTGTTCAATAAAAATCTTTGTATTTTAATTTTTAATATTTTAATAATCATTAGTGTACATAGATTTCTGCAGAGTGGTGTAAAAGTGTTGGATATCCTATTATCATTTATTTGTTTTATTAATGTCCACAAATAATTTTTTTAAACCTGGTTATTTTCTTTCTTTGTTTTTTTTATTTTTACTGACATTGATCGCTAATTCAATTTTTCAGGTTTACAATCAAGTAAAAGTAAACTTGTACAGATAAAAAATAAAAAGGAGTAAAATATACATATGGGAAAATGGGATCTTTAATTGTAAATTTAGTTAATCCTGTTCATTTCTTATCTTTATTGCATACTTTACATTCTCATTTTTACTTTATTTAGTTTTACAATGTCTCTGTGTTAGGTTAATTTTATTTTCAACATTCAGTTTAAACCTTTCAGATTGTTAGTTCTTGATTTCAGTATGTTATCTTCAACTTTTGTTTTTATTTTACTATCGGTACTTTCATTCTACATTATTTTGGTGGTCATCTTTATTGTTTCTTGCCTTCGTCACTCTGAAGAAGGCCTAGAATTATGGTTTAAATATCAGCATTCATTAAATAGTTGTATATTATTTTTTGTTTACATTTCAAATGCCTCTATTTATAATTTCCTTTCCTTTCCTAAGAAAACTCTAAATCAAATTATAGTACCAAAGCTGTCTCAGTGTTATGGTTAAATATTATTATTCATGAGATTAGCCATCAATATCTATTTTGATTTAATAGAAAATCAATGCCCACATAACATATGTAATGTAGTGTAATATATTTAAAAACAATAATTTACTGTAGTGAAGTAATCTAATTTATGCTTTGTAGTAACTTCTAAGTGATCTGTATATTTGTTTAAATAAATGATTGCTAATTGCTGTTTCCTCCAAGACTGTTGTATTTTATATTGTAGCCGTTACAAATTGAGGCATTTTTTCTATCTTACCTCAATTAGTCTATTCATAGTGAAGGCCGAATCAGTTCAGTCTTCAAGCTGCCGGATAAGTTAGAGAACGTGATGCTCTTACTCAGCACAAGTTTGTTGTTTTTTTAAGGCAAAAAATAAACCTTAGTTCATCAATGCCTAAATCTTCAGCACAAGTTGTAGTGCCATGAGGGAGGGAGAGTGTAGTTAGAAACATGTATTCTCCTTTGTTGCTTTTTTCTCCCATTACTAGTCTGAATTAACGTTATTACTAGGTCATTTCAAAAGCTTTTGTGCATTAAATAAGTTTTATTTATACTTCAGTATAAAACTTACAATGTTTTTATATTTATTTGGCAACACACATTTTCTTGTAAAATTTTCTTTAAAAATCAATTTATCTTAATTAGGTGCTGTTTTCAGCTTAAAAGAAAAACAAAACTATAAATAAATAAATTTAAAAAAATGTTTTGGTCTACTGAGTCAAAGGCTTTGGAGAAGTCAAGGAGAATACAGATGGTGAGTTTGTACTGATCCATGGCTGTACGAAGGTCTTGGGAAATTTTGTTGAGTGCAGACTGAGTGAAGTAGGCAGGCCTGAAACCGGATTGGTTGGGATTTAGGAGGTTATTTTGTTCTAAGAAGTCGGATAACCGGAAGTTTGAACTAGTCGCTCTAAAGGTTTGGAAAGGTTTGAGATGAGAGAAATTGGATGGAAATCATTGAGAGTTGATGTGTTGGAAGTCTTCTTCAAAAGGCGAACTAGTGCGGTTTTCCAGGATGTAGGGAAGGTAGTGAGTAATTGTAGATATGGTAGAAGATTGGATGTTAGAGAGGCTTTGATCAGTTTGACTGGGATGTTATTGGGTCCATAATCGTTGGTATGCAATTTCTGAGTGGAGTTGAGGTCATCAGGGGTAATATGGTTAAAAAAAGTGATTTAAAATTAAAAGGGAGCCGGTATGGTCGCAGAAGATAAGAATGAGGAGGGACAGGAGACAAAGTGAGAGCAGAAAAGGAAAGGAACTGGGTTTGAGATGTGTTACAAATGGTCAGTTTTCTGAGAATAGCCCAGCTAGCCTTGGAGTTTTGGATGTTGGATAAGGAATGATGGAAACAACCAGATTAGGCTCGGTATATAGCAGACTGAGTGCTATTTCGAAGCTGCTTGAAGGCGATAGTCTTCCGGGAGTTGGATACATTTAAACCGGTCTTGCAGCATCTCTTCTTCTCTTGCACTCTCTCAAAGCCGGTGTCAGCCAAGGAGCAGGGGGATGTCGGATGGTTTTTGTTAGGAGAAGAGCATGGCAGTCAAGGATGGTGTGAAGATGGTTAGTATGGATTTCTACCATGGCATAAATGGATTTTAAGGAATATATGGGGTCCCACTGGGTATCGTCAAGATCCTTTGACAGGGCTTCATAGGTGAGGGAATTGAGGTTTCGGAAGGATATGATTCGAGGAAAAAAAAAATGGGACTGGGATGTTGTAGGAAGTCTGGATAAGATCATGGAAAGACAGAAACGGAACTGGGTGCTGAGATACTGCTAAGAGTTTATTAGGGAATCCAAGATAAACAGATCAAGCCAGGACTCTGAGAATTGGGTATGATTGTAGGATACTATTTAAAGGCTGAGGGATTGGAGGAGGCTGGTCAGGTAGGAATGGTCAGAGGATGGTAACATTAAGTTGGTATTGAAGTCTCCTGCGAGGATAATATTGGACTAAGAAGGGAATTCTCAAATAATCCATCAAGGGAATTCTGGGAGGGCGATAAGTGATTGCAAAAAGAAGGGAAGAAGATGGGGTGAGGATTTCAGTAAAAAGATATTCTAGTTGTGGAGAATCTGTATGGAAAGAGTTTAAGGACAAAGAGACCTACACCACCACCTGTATGATCCACTCTGTCATGGCGAAGGAGGTATAATTGGGTAAAATAATTTGGGAAGACGGAATAGAGGGCTTTAAACAGGTTTCAGAAACTGCAATTAAATGGTAGAAGTTGTGGAGGAAAAAATAAAATTCATCAAAATTGGATAGGTGTGACTGAGCGTTGAAGTGGCAGGTTAAAAGGATATTAGTCATGGGAGGAGGATTGGCTTGGTAAACAAACTGGAAGTGCTTGGGGTAGGAATATTTCTACAGTGGTTGGAGCTAGTATGAGCCCAGGGTACATAATTGTTGATGACACCTCTATCAGGAAGAACCATAAGTATGAAAATATATGAATCAAGACAAGAAATAAAGAATACAAATTTGCTAGATATAATTAGTGTTGAAAAGTAGAAAATATACAATTTAGTAAACAAAAGGTCTACCTCTACAGTGAAAAAAACAATATTTACGTGAATTAAAATGTCTAAACGAATCAAACTTAGACTGTTCTTATAAACAAAAATTAAATTATTATCTAAATAGATTAAATAAAAAACAACAAAATTATAATCTTGAAAATAAATAAGGGCAAAAACAGAAATGAAAACTAAAATATGCAAAGTAATGAAAGATGCAAGTGCATGTCATATGAATATGTCAAGAACCTATGACAAGTTAACCACAACAATCTGCTGGTCCTCTTCTCCCTGCCATTTCACTTTGCCTGCTTTGAATCAGACGTATCTGATCTTCCCTGCAGACCTTTTCTGTCAGACTAATCAGTATAAGTTTCAATTCGTTACGGACATTACTTTGTTCACATATATTTTTGTGAGTATCTTTTTCCTGCCACCCCAAGTGATGAGTTGAGAAGTCTCCTATAAGCTCCCACCTTATTATTACTACTAGTGTTCTCTCAGTGGTCGAAATTCGACTATTTTTATTTACATACTATTTAATATTTTTATTTATTGATAACACTAAAGCTCATCAATAGCTATTAAACAAAAAAAGAAGGAAGAAAATCGGTTGAACTCCTGCTTCATTCACTTTATTGTGAACACTTTGCCGGATTATTACTTATTTTAGATCCATGGTCCATTTGATAATTTTGTAGAAGTTGAAATTGCGATCCAATAGTCCAATATACAGAGGAGCCGATAAAACAAACCAAAAATAGGAAAGAATCGGTGGCAAACTTCCGCATGGCAACCGGGCACGATTACCTGCAAAGGCATTTATATAGGATTGGAGTGGTGGAAAGTCCTGTGTGCCCTCTTTGCCAACAGGACGAGATGTACTACCTGCACCTCCCAGTTTGCCCCGCTCTGTCAGATGTCCGCAGTACTTCTGATGGGATCGGAACAAATGTAAACAAAGGATTCATGGCGGAGTTGTATTGGGCTTCCAGAAGCCGAATGGCCTAATAGCCAATGGCAGAGGCGTTTAATAAAAAAAAAAAAAAGTTCTTTGACAGCAATCCCAAAGAATGATATCAGCGTGGGATCGAGCAATTGGCTAGCAGATGGCTAATGACAGTAGTTAACAATGGACTGTACTTTAAGTATTAAATGTATTTTATATCAAAGAAATAATAATACAAATTTTTGATTGAAAAACGGTCATTTTTTTAAAACACCCTATACAGATACACTTACATAAACGCATAGATATAGATAGATACGCATACACATCTACAATATTCATATAATAATATACATTAAATACCAACTGACCCACGACTGAGATTTAATATTGAATTTTAATTAAAATTAAAATTACTGCAATGTATAATTTTTTTTAAAATATAGATTAGAGGTGATAAATATAATAAAATCATATTTGGAGAACCAATTACCCATAAATTATTTCTTAACATTTTTCCAGGTGATAACAATTTATGCCAACTGTAGTAATTTAAGTTTGTTCCCTTCAAAAATCTTGATGTAATCTGATTCATAGTTCTCTTTGAGAGTCCCGATCCTGAACGGTCTCGTATGGAATTCCTACCCCATACTCCTCTCCAGGTCAAAGTGCCGGAATAGACTTTAATATCCATGAAGGCACTTTAATTGTCAGTCCAATTACCATTCTACAGTCTATGCTTTTGTATATTGTATATACTCAGTAAGATGGTACCCGACAAAGAGATGTCCTATTCTGGGAGAAGTCAAGTTGACATTAGAGGATGAACAAGAACATGTTGTGATCTTTTATGATTTTAAATAGACGAAAATAGAAAAAGAGATGAATATGGTGCACGGACACCGAAAGCTACTCTTCTAATAAAGTTGTAAAATTTAATAGAGACTGTCAATGATAAAAAAATCCTGATGTTATAATGTAAGAGCGCAATGCCTTACTCACTGACCCAACCTTTCAACAGAATTGATAAGTTAATAGCAGTAATAAATAATAATTTTAGCCCAATAACGATTTTTAACTTAGGTTAATACATTGCCATACATTATAATGGTTTTTTTTTACTGATTTTGTGACTGTTTCTTATCCAAGATAAACCTTCATACAATCAATTTAAGTAGTATTATCTCTAATATTTTCTTATTTATTTTCCATAGTTGTATTGTGCTGAAAGAAGCCATAAAGAAAATCACTGGAATTCCAGTTGATAAACAGGTCCTTCTTGCAAGCGGTGGTGAAAGCTTAGAGCATAATGTCAGAGTTTGTTCATATTCTGCAGGAACTGACACCAATCCAATTTATCTCTTCAGCAAGGAATCTATTGATGCTACTTCTCCACCACTTGCTAGTATTGATTCTATTCCAAGTAAGTACTTTTTTCATTTATTAAATTTACTAAGTTTAGTTTCCTGGTTTGTAATTAAGTTCACTTGTGCAGGGGTAAGCATTTCAAGTGCATGAGTATCATAAAAAACGGTACTAATTCAGATGAGTTCTAAATGGATTACGCTTGGTTCACAATCAGTTCGGTCACACTTGTTCATGAAAAACCGAGTACAGTTGAGTGTTGCTGAATGTTCTGATGTCAGCTCTTGTCCCTACCACCCTTTTCCCTTCATATATATCTTCGCCTATTACCAGTATAGAACTTTCTTAATGAATTATTTATATACAAATTTGTTAATTATTATTTATTTTATAGCGGTAATTACTCTGGGAAAAAAAAAGAAAATATGTAAAATGATGTTTGAGTGGTTCTTCAACGCATGTTAAAAAAAAAATGCTTTTTTAAAAATAATTTTTTTATTGACTTGTGATTACATGTAGTAGCTATATATATATGTGTATGCTATTGTATGATATCTTTTATATTAATCTATCATATATTAAAATATCTAAAGTTATTAATCATCTTATTGTTGTTATGCGAGTTTTTCGAATAAAAGTTTTTTTATGAGAGTTTTTCAAATATCTGAAAATTCCAAAATACTGAATAATGGAAATCATTGATAAGAAAAATAAATATCGTGAAATAGTATTCAGCGATATAATAATTAAAGGTTTTTATCTATTATCATTTCTTTTCCATAGCTGTATAATATATGTATAAGTTCCATTAAAGTTACATGATATAACCTAGATGTCGAATATAAGTCGGCTCATGCTCTGTATAACTCTTGATGTATAAGGATATACAAGTACTTTAATGGCGAGAAAATTATTAGTAACTCACTTAACTTATTAGTAAAGTCAAGAGATCGATCGCCTTCAAAGTGTGACCGAAGTGATTCTGTTCCGCGCATAATCCGTTTGGCACTCTTGTGAACTATTATCATCTTGGTTAAACAGGATTTTCTTTTTCTGCAAGTTCTGCCATCAGCTTGTCAAGTAATGATGCGTAGTATGCTTCTGTAATGGTTTTTCCTTTTTGAAAATAGTCGATTAAAATAACTTCATGACTATTCCAAAAAACAGTCGCCATCACTTTCCCAGCTGAGAAAACAGTTTTTGCTTTTTTATTTTTGAGCCGGTTCCCCCTTTGCAGTCCACTGTTTGGACTGTATTTTTGTTTTGGGCATTTAATGTTTTATCCAAGTTTCATCTACAGTAATTAATCAGCGCCAAAACTCGGATTTTTGCGCCTAAACTGCAGCAATAGAGCATTGGAAATGTTCATTCGAACACATTTTTGGTCTAACATGAGCAAACACGGCACCCAATGTGCAGACATCTTTCTCATTTCTAAATGTAGATTTAATATGTAACAAACACGTTCTTTTGACATATCCATAATCTTTGCTATCTCTCTCACTTTAATTTGGCGGTCGTCTATTACCATTTGGTGAACTTTGGCAATGTTTTCGTGGGTAGTTGCAGTTTTTGGACGTCCTGAACGTTCATCGTCTCCCAAACTCTTATGGCCACGTTTAAATTCAGCTGCCCAAAATTTCACTGTGATAAATGATAGTGCAGTGTCCCCACACACAGAATCCAAGTCATTTTTGATTTGCATAGGCGTAATTGCCTTTCAAAAACAAATATTTAATGACAGCTCGATACTCGATTTTGTCCACTTTCACAAAAACACTCACATCAATTCATTCAAACGACTGTTACATAAAAACTACGCCTCCAAAATGGCTGAAACTTTGGTGGGTAACTTGTTAACAGATGAACAATGAAATTCACTTGCTTTTATATACGAGTGTTGTCATCTTCACGTTGCGGTCGGAAACTTTTCATATATATTTTATATATATGACAAACCAGTTATTCTGGATGTGGAAATAGCTATTGGTAGGCTTAAAAGAAGAAAGGCTCCAGGAATGGACAACCTACCATCAGAATTGTTCAAGGATGGGGGAGAAGAACTCAGAGCCAAGCTGTTAGATCTAATCCAGAAGATATGGGAGAAGGAACGGATACCAGAAGCATGGAACACAGGGTTGATCTGTCTTATCCTTAAGAAGGGCTCCATGTATGAATGTGGCAATTACAGAGGCATAGCACTTCTTCCTATCGCCTATAAAATAATGACTAATATTCTGTTAAATCGGATATATCCGTATTATGAAAACATAATAGGTGAAACAGGATTCAGGAGAGGGAGGAGTAGGCTAGATCAGATATTCATCCTGAAACAAGTACTTGAAAAACGATGGAAAGTAGATCAGGACGTACACGCATTATTTGTCGACTTCAAATCAGCCTATGACTCCATTGACAGAAACTGTCTCTGGAAGATCATGACTGAGCTGGGTGTTCCCAGGAAATTAGTGAGGTTGACGAAGGCGTGTACAAATGATCCTAAATGCAGGGTACTAATACAAGGAGATGTATCTGAAGCCTTTGAAGTTCGAACGGGTTTGAGGCAGGGAGATGGACTCTCGCCGATGCTTTTCAACTTAGCACTAGAGAAAGTAATAAGAATAACATCACGGGAAGATGGAGGGGTGCACGTTGGAATGAAACATCCTAGCATATGCCGATGATATAGCTGTCCTCGGACCTCGGAAGTAATCAAGAGGATATTGAGAGACTCGCTCGGACTCTATTAAAAGAAGCAGAGCAAATCGGACTACAGGTCAATGTAGATAAAACAAAATACATGATAGTTAGCCAAAACATCCACCCTAATAACATGATCTGCGTGGATTCTAAGTCATTCCCGAAAGTAGACAGATTCAAATACCTCGGCTCCACAATAACCTCAATAAATGATCAACTAACAGAGATAGACCAGCGAATAACAAGTGCGAACAGATCTTTCTTCTCTCTTTCAAAGGCACTGAAATCCAGAAAAATCTCAAAATAAGGGTGTACAACGCAGTGATTAAGCCAGTTCTGCTGTATGGTTGTGAAACCTGGGCTCTAACTGGCACATTAGAAGCCAGAATTGAGACATTTGAAAGAAAAGTTCTACGTAGGATAACAGGACCTATATGGGACCAGAACCATGACACATGGAGGAGAAGGAACAATAAAGAACTATTGAAAGAAACGGGTCAGTCAATATTTCATGACGTGAAGGCAAGGAGGTTAAGATGGGCAGGGCATGTAGCTCGTAGTAATCCATCAGGACGTCTCTACACGACAATGAATGCCAGAGTAGTAGGCAAGAGACCACGTGGGAGGCCAAAACCAGATGGATAGATAGGATAAACAAAGATACGGCTGAGCTTCATGCATCAAACTGGAAAGCAGTAGCCCAAGACAGGCAGAGGTGGAGAAGGCTGGTTCAGGCGGCCAAAGATCTACAAGGTCTGTAGAGACAACCGAAAAAAAAATATATATATTTATAATTTTTGATTAATGCACAAATAATATTTAATTTTCTTCATAACTTTTTTTATGCTACAAGGTTTTTTTTTTTTTTTTTGTTCTCCCCTTCCTCGCCTTTAACGCTATACGGGGGTTTTCCCAGGCCAGGGAGTGTGGGTGGGGATTTAAAAACTCCTCTGGGCACCGGGACGCGAACTCGTGACTATTTTTTTTATCAAAGTGTATAATTTTTATGTATCAGGTTGCCGGGCAACGGTGGTGCAGTGCACACGCGTTAGCCCATTCGGCTACCCCGCCCACTATGCTACAAAGTGTAACTTAAATGATGTCTGCCCATTAGGAAGGGATAGTAGACATAAATTGCAATTAAATAAAAACTTTCAACTATAAAATATTTCCCATGTGCCCTTAACCTTCAGCATGGCACTCCCTTGCTGTTTCCAGGATGGTACTGGTTCAGCAAGGACCTCATTTATCATCAAATTTTTTTTCTAATTATTCATGAATTGAATGGATTTTTTGAAACCATTAGGAAGAAAAATTATTATGCATATAAAAGAACTATTTTGCAAAGCTTAACATACATTTTGGGTGTAGGTGGTTTGGGTGGAATAGAACAGTGAGGAGGTCTGGTTGTTACCCTGGGCTTTGCATCAATCTTGCAATAAACTAGTGAGGATACCCTCTGTCCGCCTAACAGCAAAACAACTCCTGTTTTACAAATTATACAACTGTTCATTTAATTTTATTACTCGTTACTCAAAGTACATAACCGTAATTTACATGTATTTGATAGTTGAGATTGTATCATTTTTTATCAATATAAAATAAACTGAACGGAACCACTGTTCGGACAAATTTTTAATTTCTTTAAAAATCTATACTATAGATTGCGTCTCCTTGCTAATTTTTATTAATATATAATTATTCTTATTGCTAATTTTTAATCATGATAAGGGAGAAATAATTCTGGGAATAAGAAGTTGTATCTTCGTTACTGTCTGTTCCACTTTGTATTTGTAAAATGAAATATTACACGGTGGTCACTAAAAACTTTTTTATATAATAAAGAGATATGATGCATAAAGTATTAAAATGTTCTACTATTCATTAAAAGCCACAAGTGATAGAGATAAATGTAAAGATTGATACAACATCCACTCATTAAATACAAGGTGTAGAATTCCAAAACCAGTTAACTCCAACTTTTTGATTTTATTGTTTTCAGAAGCAGTATATGAATGGAGGAGATCGAAATATCTCAGTTCGGGAGCTATATAAATTCACTTGTTTAATCTCTCAAAGTACCCTGCATATAAAGATACTATTTTGATAAATAAAAGAAACTTGTTTTTCTTTTATTGTAATTTTTCCTATCTTATCCTGTTCAAATGATATTTACCTCCAAGGTCAAGCATATATCACTTCTGAACGGTGTGTTAATAATTCTGTTGTTTTTTATGTACATTTTTATGATTATGAATATTAAACTTTAAAATTAATGACCCTCCGAGGCGTCTGAAAAGAAGATGGCCTCGTGATCTACTTATGTAAATGTATTATTAGAGTGCTACCAATGGGTAGTTTTTCAACAAGCGTTTTCATGTGATTGTATTATTACTGTGTGCACATTTACTAGTTGTATTTTTTTTTATAATACAGTTGTAAATATAATGAATAAAACAAAAAAAAAAAAAAAGTATTAATGACTTCATCTGTTTTGGTTAATTTATAATAAAATATATATTATGTAGGCGTTCCAATGAGGGTTGCCTTTTCACGCCAGAGCTGAGCTCCAGAAGTCGCAGCTAAGCCAATCTCCATCCTGAAGACCCCAGCCAGCCATCTCCTCTTCCACTTCATGTATCCACCTTTTTCTGGATCGTCCTCGTCTCCATCTTATTGCCGGTTACCAGTCAAGAATTTTGTTAAATCATCACTCAGTAGACATTCGTCTTACATGGTCGTACCACACATCAGCCTTTGCCATCCAATTCTCTGGTTGTCGAATTAATGAGTCTCCATCCTATTCCTAATTCTATCCATCCTTGTCACTCGTAGGCATCTCCTTCAAAAGTCCATTTGCACAGCCTGTACCTTTGAATAAAGCTGGTATGACATGGTCCAGGTTTCGCTGCATAAATTAGGATGGGTTCTATGATGGAGTGGTATATTCTTTGTTTGTTTTTTTTAGAATTCGGTCGTTCAAAAAGAAAAGTTGAAGCAGGCGTGTGGCTTTCCGAGCTTGCTCCATTTTTATCTGCACATCAATTTCTGAGGATCCAGAGGAATCAAGGTAAGATATCAGGTACTTAAACACATCAACTGTACAGGTCTTAGCGTCGATATGAAGATCACCAGTGTCCTTAGCGCAGATGGGCATGTATTCCTTCTTTGTGAAATTTATCCTAAGCCCAAAGACTCATAACGGGCCTATAGTGAGCAAATCATCCTCTCCAGAAACAACTTATATGTGCAAATATAACCTGATCATCGGCGAACAACAGATTCAGCAGCTGTTCATCGTCGATCGATGGCTCCATATCCCCACACTGATGAAACCATTCTCTGACAGACTCGCTTAGATAAATACTACAGCCCTGTTTCAGACCCATAGTACCCAAAAAATGCTCTGTCAGGCAACTTCCAAGCTTTACCTGGTAAAGTCGTTTCGGTAGAGGTTTCTCACTATTTCTGTTAGGGCTCTATTGATGCCAGTCTCTCTCAATGCTTTCCACATTCCAACTAATTCTAGTTCTTGGAAAGTTGTCATAAGCCTGTTCGAGGTCCTCGAAACTATATGGAGCTCCTGTTTCATTTCTCAGAATTTCTTGATGAGTTACTGGAGAACAAAGATGTTATCAATACATGAACGTTCCACTGTGAATCCTGCCTGTTCCTCATGGGTAATGAAAGATTCTTCCAATTTGCCTCGGAGTAGCCTTCCTATAATGCTGCTTACTGAACTCAGTATATAGATACCCCTATAGTTGTGTTCTAGCACATCTTCCTGTCAATTTCCTTGAATATGGGTGATATAAAACCTGTTCAGAGATCCTCAGGAACTCTGTTCCATCCCAATACCAGGCTAATTATTTCTAGGAGAATAGTTATCATCTTATTAACTCCAGCCTTCAGCAGCTCCACCAGAGATCCTGTCAGGTCCAAGTGCCCTTTCGTTTTTAGGATCTTTCGGAGCTTAAGACAATTCCTCAATGGTCAGCATTACCATAATATCAGGCATTCTGGTCTCCCCTGCAATAAACTGGGACAAAAACTAAATTAAAAAAGTCACTGCCAATGACCCCTAGAGTATAATGTAATAATAATGAGACTAGAAACAATGTATCAAGCATTCTTAAAAATGTTGCCTGTAACAAATAATACTTTTTTTTTATCATTTGGTATAATTCAAACTTTTTAGTTGGAACAAAGGTTTTTATTTATTCAACTGGTTGTTATTATTATTATTTAAAGCTATATAAGCACATTATACATGTTAAAGTTTCAAATATGTTAGTGGGATAGTGGATGAAAAAATATTTCATGAAAAAGAAGGAAATAATGGATTTGGAATATGAGGTAGATGAAACAAAATGTTTAAATTATTTAATTTGGCAGTTTTTATTTGTACTAAACATTTTAAATTGACATATTTTATTTTCAGATGCGGACCTGAAAGAAGAAGTTGACGCTTCCCTGAATTTGCCACCAACAATACAGACTGTTAACATGAGGTGTCAGTTGGCTCAGCAAATATGTGAGCAAGCTAAACAGATCAGTTGGGTTTGTGATAAGCTTATCCACGAACAGCATCTTCAACATCAGGGTAATGAATAGTCAATATTTTTAAAACCATGATTTTCAAGTTAAATTGCAGCAATTCTTATTGTTGCTTAAAGCATTGAATACTCATATTTTGATGTTATAAATCAGCAGTAGTAATCCTCCAGCAGAAAGTGAATCACGGTGCTCTCACATTTTGACATCATTCATCTCTATCCTATGCTATCATTACTAACCTGTGTGGTACTCAAAACCGTATCACTGATTTCTTCTACATGCTCCTGGGCAACAGATTCCAATGTGGTGCATGTTTCTCTATTGATGATGGTGTTTTTTATGTTCCTTTTCCAATAATATTTATTAAGTTTTTATTTTTCGTTTGTTCAGTGATTATTGTTCCTTCAATGAATCTTGAAAAAGAACTTAACCGAGAGTGAATTATTCTGATCTTTAAGAAGATCAATTTTGTGACAATAATTAGCAGGCCATTAAATTTATCAATATCAAATTTGAGGTGTTTTATTTGGCCCCGTTAGGCTCTATCTTTCTATTTCCTCCCATCTTATTTTTGTGCTTGCACCTTAAAAATATTCTATAGCAATAAGAAATAAGACAAGCCTAGACATATATCCCTTTATAAACTTTTAGCTCTTTACACACCATTTGTTTACTCCAGTGGTCCCAAAAAGTTTAACTTCATAAAAAACTCAAAATTCTAAATCTATTGAAATTTACTAACTATGCAGGAAGGAATTATTAAGATAAAAACAACTGCCACTCCTGGAGCCGGCTTGCCCTTTCCTAATCCTTTGCTCTATCTATGTGATGATCAAATTTCATTCAATAGTGGTAGAAGAAACCTAGTGTACGTTTGGTCTTGAGAATTGCTAGGTGGTACAATTAAATCTGTTATCTTTTTATTATACTTTGTGAAGTCCTTTAATGTCAGACAGGAAATATTTTAATGCAGAATATATTTTTAATAGGATGGGCAGCAGTTATGGCAAATTTAGAAGATGTTACTGCTGAGTTTTCAAATAGGAATGCAATATTTGAGGCAGCCTACACACAATATTTGGAAACAAGGCCTCAGTATTTAGAAATGCTAGATAAGTAAGTCTGATGATTTTGCTATGATCAGTTGCCTGTTATTATTCTTTATTACTAATTTTTTAACATCATTTATTAGTGGTTGATTTAAGCAATGTTATAAATTCTTTCCATAGCTTTTAAAATATTGGATGTTAGTAGTTAAATTCACATCAAGCTAATAGGATGTAGATTTGATTATAGTATGACCATTTTTATCTTTTTTAAAGTTAATTTAATTATTACCCTGATGTATATTGATCTAATTCTTGCCACTTAAGAATAAAGTGTTTTGGGTTTAAGGAGTAAACAACAAAAAGGAAAAATATGGTCCTGGCTGGAGGTAATAAAATAACTTAAAATAGTAGAAACTATTTATTAAGCTTACATTTCAATCCTACTATACTTCATCAGAGCTGGAAAGAACAAGATACAAAACTGAAATGTAAATGAAAATGTATGAAAATATAAACATTAGATAACTAAAATGGAGAAAATCTGGGAGGGCAATCTTCATAAAATGAGTATATATAAAGAAATATGTATACACTTGTAATATGATAGGGTTTAGATTCATGTAATATTTCAAGATTGAGAAATAATGGAATTGCGATCAAGTAAAATGTTAAAAACCCTAAATCAAAAATCCATTTAATTTTCTTTGAGCTGTAAAACATACCTCTTGGATCTTCCTATTTTAGAAACCTTAAAGTAAAGTAAAGTAAAAATTATTTTACTTCTTTTTATGGTTTCTATAAAAAGCCATAAATTCTAGTCATGTTAAAAAACTTAATAGTTAAGCATTAAGACACAGCTGTTTCTGAACTACACTAATCCATCATTGCACTTGCTCAAGACCTATATGTTTGATGCAGAAGAGCCTAGGTTTGTTGTTATCTCACTTACTAAGAGTATAGAAGCAACACCTGCATATATATTTTTTTCATTTATTTAAAAGACCAAACTTTTTTTTCCCTATGTTATCTTAAGTGCCCAAGGAATCATAGGACTATTCTCCTCCATTTACCTTTTCAATAGATTTTTAATTTGTCTAAGACTATCATAAATAGTAACATTTTAATTTTTAAAGTATCGTTATGTGGTAACTATGCTATGGCAACTATAATATCTAATAGATGTTCAGCAAAAATTACGATTTGTTTTAAAAATGAGACATTTTTGGGCTTTAAAGCGCAGGATCCGATAGTTCCTTTGAAACTTTACCGGGTCTAGATGACTGTCAAAATCTTCAAAACAGAATTTATCCTGCCTTCTTCCGCTGACTTTTGAATCCAAATTTTTTTAATGACTTTTGTTGTAATTTTAATAAAGGTTTAAGTTTTTAAACTATGATTTGTCACCTCTCCATGAAATTTCCCCTCTTTTGATCCCTCATTCATAAAAATCCATTGCTTTTCAGAGCCAAAAATGGGCTGTATTATATATAGATTAGATAATATAATTTTTCAAAAGTTGGTTATTTATTTTTGTTATTTCCATATCCATCACTCATCATTTATTTATATCTCATTAAATTTATTTAAATAATTTTAGTTTCAGCAATGATATTGGATTTTTATCACAAATTCCTATTTTACCTGTATTGACTGAAACAATGGGAGAGGTAACCAATGAAGAACCATCAATAGAAGGTTCTGAAAAAAACCAAGCAACTAGCACTGAAGGAAAAAAGAAAATTCCTACAACCTTACTGGAGTGGGTTTCTGAAAAAGACAGCCAGTTCAGTGTTGACCGAATTGCTGAGCTCTGTCGCAAAGGGCTTGAACAGGTATTATAAAAGTATCTGTGCTTTTTTTATATTTAATTCTTTAGGGTTGATATTGCTCTGTTATATCTCAACTATAGTTAATGACAACTATAGTTTATCTCAACTGAAGAACACAAATGAAATTTATGGATAGGCTTGGTAGCATTACCAGTCTCTCCCCTTACACCTTAATGATACATCTCTTGATATCTTAATGACTTACTCGAACGGAAACAAAAGAAATGATGGTGTCAAATGTTTCAGTAGTATTGCTTACTTATGTGGTTCTACAACTCTCTACTAATAGCACTTGCTATTTACTATTATGTTTTTCATCTGTCCTTGAATAGTCCATATGCAAGAGTTTAATTTCATTAGCTGTTATTACCCCAATCTCAGATTCTCTTTCCTTGGGTTCCAGTTGAGAAATTTCATTTTATACATGTCTTCGGATTTGCAATTTGTCCATTATTGCTTCATAACTGGCTGAAATAAGTCTGGCAAAGTTTACTACCTTCATAGGGTCTACTTTATTCGTATATTTTTATATGCTGGCTCTTCCAGAACTTTCCCAATCAAATCTGTTCATGCAATCCATATATTTTGTTCAGAATTTCTTTTTTAACAAATTGAAATCCTTTTCCTTTATGTTAATTACAGTTCAAGACTTTAAAACAGTATTGAAGAAGCTAAGCAGCACTTTAGTGGCAGAAGCATCTTAATTTCTTAGATGTTGCATCATTTGAAATGATGATCAGGAATCTAAAGTACTTAAACTCCATAATTTTTTCAAAAATTTATATTCCAAATATTACTCTTGATTCTCGAAAACCTCAATTCTATCACCTATAGGTTGAGGTGACCTTAAAGTTGAGCACTATTCGACATAATATTGAATAAGTCAATTGAATTATTTTACAAGTCATCACATTTAGATTATACAATTAGTTTACATTGAGTGCTGGTAAAAGATCTGAATGTATCATTATTGTTATGTTATAATTATTATTATATTAACATTGTTCTGTATCATTCTGACCATCCTAAGTTGGTTTTGGTTTAGTATTCATCTCCATTATTGTTTCTTATGGTATTATCTATTAAGTAGTGGTGCTATTTTATTGTTTTATTGTGGAAAACGGCAAACATGATGAAAATATGGTTTATTGCGAATCTATCCCAGCAGAATTCAATGTTATGAATTCAAATTTTGCTAAATGTTGCAAGGGTGTGGAAGAATAGTTTTTATGCTTAAGTATAGAAAGTAATGTGGTACTGTATGAGTTTTTTTGGTCAGCAATGGCCAAATTTTTCTATGCAGTGGTTGTCTTTCACAATTTTTTACAACCGTTACACTTGTTTCTTTATAAATATTTAAGTCTAATTGTTTATATTTTCTCTGCATTTACAATCCAAGAATCCTGTACCAGACTTAAAATACAATGGGATGATACACGTGGTTCTCCTAGTATTTAGAAGGGGAACCTTATCATTACTGGCCGCAGTAAGGTCAGGCAGTGCTAATGGAGGCTGCAACAATTTTTTATATTTTACAGTTTCTATTTTTATTTGTCACTAAATACACATCCATATTCATATATTCACCTTAATTCTACTAATTTTCGTAACTTAAATAATTAAATATTAATTAATTCTAGTACTAGATTAATAAATATGCAAAAAGGTTTAGAGGCCACAGTTCCCCACCTGTGATCTAGTGAGTCAATAGGAGAAAGTATATTTTTATATACCTCTTTTTATTTTCTCTCTATATATACCTCTACAATGCCATTTATGGCATATGGAGGGTTGTTCTAGAGGTACAACCAAACCTATTTTAACAAGATTGGGAAAATCGAGATTAATTCTGTGGGCCCGCCGCAAAATACGTTTAACCCTCTCAGGCTGGATTCAATCAGGTATCATTAGATTCGAGAATGTTAAAGTTTACCCCTACGTATAATCTCTAACCTGGTCTTGGGTTTTATAAAGTCCCAATCAGCTATCAACTTGGTATAGAAGTGATATAAACTACCTTTCTCATCCGTGATTCCCATCAGGCCTTCTGGGGAGATACGAGGTACCATATGAAGTTAATAAGGATAGGGAGGACAGGGAATTCTCTAGCAGGCAGGGAGTAGGGCCTTAACAGTGAAAGGGACTAGCACACTCTTCTCTCTTGTCTTGTTATACTCTCAAGTTTCTGATCTCACCAAGAAATTCCATTCCTTCCCTGCATCATTATTTATAAACTTTTTTTATACTACCTGTGGATTAACCTACACTAAATTGTGAAATTTATGAGGAAAAACAAAAGTCACGTTTACAATACTTTAATGTAAACATAATTTTTATGTCTTTGTCACAGCGGTATGATAATATATTGGTTTCCTCCACAACCTGACCGAAATAAGACAATGCATTGTCACAAAACGAAGTATTGTACACTTTGACATATTTTAGGGTTTTTGTTATTATAATGCACTTAATTGGTTTTTGCAAAAATGAATGCACTGCAATTCACAAATATTTACTCTAAACTTATGTTTTATAGTTATTGCTCCATTCCTATGGATCAGAGTGACATAATAAGGTTTAAAGCCTTTCTCAAAATGGTCCATCTGATAAAAAAACTTTTCAAATTTGATTGGTAGTTCATGAAATTATTGTGTTCCTGAAACTTAACATACTGGTACAGATTAGGAGACTACTCTGGCATGTGGGTCTTGTGATCCCTTTTGCCAACCCCTGGCAGCTACCTTGCGGTTGCCGCTGCATACTTACCGCATTGGAAGTGTCAAGATTCATTACCGAGAAAAAAATATTAAAAACATAAGATAAATTATTGACAAACATAAAATATCTCGGTATACATTTTGAGAGATACTTTTGCAGTCCAAACACAAGTCATCATAGAATCACCAAGAGTGATATATTTCTGAACTTGGTCCTTACAGTCTAGTTTATGTATTAGAGAGACTCCTGACTGAGGATCAACTAATCGTTAAGGACCAGTAGGAGCATTTCAAACATTTTAAGTTGCTTGTTTCAAGAAGGCTTCAAAAATTGTTATAAATAAAAATAAGACAATTTTTTCATGTTATAAAATGACAAAAAAATATATAATAATGTTGTTCATCCTCAAGAAAAGTGCTAGAAATCAGTATTTGAGAAAAATGGACATCAATCAAAAATTCTATTAATGAAACTTACTTTGAAATAGTATGAAGTTCTTTTCAGTATAAGTTGGGTATTTATGGTAATAAATAAAATTTAAAAGAAGCTTCGTATCTAAACGTATGCAGGTAATCCCTACTGTCAATATAATTTTCAAAATAAATCTGAAATGTTTAAATTGAAAGGAGTGAATGAGTAGTCAATTATTAAAGCTATCACAATTAACAATTTTTATGTAATTAGAAACTGGATACATAATGACTACTTTAAACTTTACTAGACACTTTGACATTAAACATAAATAAAGGTAGAACAAAACCTAAGGCTCTGTAAATAATACAAATATCAATAGACTGAAAGACCCTCATTTCTCCTGCCATGATTCAATCATTCAATCAGGACTCATATATGGTGAACCACTGTTTCAACACATTAGCAAAAGAACTGGGAACAGATTGCATTATTTCCTGAATATAACCATCAGGATATTATTTTATGTTTGGGACTTCTTTATCAAGGATGAATACACTTGAACTATTAGAATCTATTAAAGTGCCTAAAATCAGAAAATTTTTAGCAACCAGGCTGTGGTAATGTTTTAATGCTTCCTGACCATTGGCTGATTCATTGTACAATTGTCTAATTTCAGCATGTATTCCATAAGTTTATAACAGTTATTCCATAATTGCTTGTAATAATATATTAATATTATAACTACAACTAACATATTAATGTTAAATTTAAGTGTTAAGAAGTGTAAGATAAACTCATGTGAAATTTGAACACCATCACCAAGAAGTTCTCAGCAAATCTATTTCACAGAAATTACACGATTAATTCACATCTTGAAATTCATTTTAGAAATGACGAGATATATCCTAGAATAAATGATATTTTTTTTAATTTAAACTATTTATAGACCGAAAAGGGTCTCGTGAAAAAATAATTTATTTTTAGTGCTTTTATTTAATTAATTTTATTTCCAAAGCTTTATAAATTAATAATCTTTATGTTATGGATGTAACTACCGAAAAAAAAATCGACATAGATATGTACACATGCATCGAAAATGCATATCACTATTGTTAGTAAACCAACTATTTCTTTATGATTTATTAGTATAATTTCATATTTTATTCCCTCTGCTATTTTCCTATTTAGCAGATTATTTATGCTATAAATAGTCTGCTAAATAGGAAAATCTATTTAGACTAAAAAATTTATTCTATTTAGCACAAAGAGAATAAACATGTAAAATTGTTACATGTAACCTTTTGCACTAACACTAGCGATTTATCAAAATAGTACATTGGGTTGATATTTTTAATCTTAAAAAGAATAGGGATGTAAATATTGCACTATAATGTAGTATTGAACATTATCAAACATTAAATATTGATTGCTAGAACTAGGGGGAGAGGGGAATCAATTAAATTCGTTGAGCAGCTTTCCTTGTTGACTTTTTTATTTTATTTTATTTATTTGTTATTTATTTTTTTATAAAATTTTATTTTGTTAGAAAAATTATTGGTTTTTGATAGTCAAATTTTAGTATCAATATAAATAAAAAATATTGATATATTTTTAAAAATATATCAGTATTTTGATAAATAGGTATTTTCCAACATCCCTATTAATATTATAAGTTTATAGGATTGTGTTATCCCAGCCAATTACTAATTTTATTTTATTTTAGTTTTCTGACCATTTGTACATGCTTTGCTTGTTTATAGTTTCTCATATCTTGCTGTTTCGCAATTTTATGCATGATATACTAGGATGTTGCCATTTATAATTTATTTTATAATTTTGCAAGTATAATTTATGGTAATATATGTATACATTTTTTTTTAAGCTGTTTATTCATTTATTGTTTGTCAGCAATCTTTCTAAGCATTGTTGACTGTAGTTTTTGTATGTATGTATGTATAACTAGTGACTTTTTTTCTTTTTATAACATTATTAACTTAATGTTCTGATTTACACCCTAGTTCAATGAAACTATACTGGAAGGATTGAAAAGTGATGCTGAGTATCCCTTAAATAATGTCAAGGGTCTTAAGGTCGGTAAGGTTGGTTGAAAATTTATATACCTTAAATTGGGAGCAAAGTTCAATTTGATGATAATTCAAAATAAGCAATATTTTTCTTCTTATTTAGTTTGTTGATTCTGTCTTCTGTTATATTGTGATGTATAGAAATCAAGTTTGACTTAATATGTTCATTATCTCAACTAATATCTTATTTATATTTCTTTTCTTTATCTGTGCATATGAATAATAATAAAAAAAATGTTTTATCGTATTCACTCTTTTTCGTTGAAAGCAATAGCCTAAGACAGTTTAGTAGAGCAGGCTGGTTAAGGTATGTAAAAGATCTTAAACTCTGTAGTCAATGGAGGAGTGAGGTGGCTTAGTGAGCCAAGGAACTTCCTATGCTCAAGATTCCTAGCAGGAAATAAATCCTCGCTGGCAAATGTTATATTCTTTTTGAAAGTCGGTGGGTTTTGTTGTAGGTAATAGTGCTGGAGCTCACCACTTACCTGAGCCCATTCGCCACTAAAGTGGCCAACTGACTAATTAGTTAGGGTTTTAACCTGGAAGTCTGAGTTTTGATCGTATATTGTGCCAATCTTGTCACAAGATCTTTTATCAGTATCAGCCCCATAGAACGTATTTCATGAATTACTGCTGAACTAATTTATTATTTATTAAGATATTCCATTTATATTTTCTCAGAAATATAGATGTATTATTTTTTAGTAAATAATTATCTCTATCGGTATACTTAAAGTAAATATTGGAAATGTATTCGGTAATATCCTAAAAAAATTTTATTTTGCAAACCTGTAATTAAGCATGTATTTTTAATTTTTTTGTAATCCTGTTATATACTTCTTGCATGTTTGGTGTTTATATTTGGTTTAATATTGTAAGCATGGTATAATTAGGATTCTACTATTTATTCTTTCCTTTATTTTTGAAAATATCCACTTATTCCTTCTTATTTGTTTTTGTTTTTTTATCTTTAGAACTCATTCATTATATTCTTCTCTATTTTTGTATGTGTGTTATAGTTTATGTATATATTTTTACTTTTACAACATGATCAATTTAATATTTTTATTTTTATCTTAGTTCGATGTGATTATAATGGAGGAAATAAAAACAGAAGTAAAAACAGCACTTGAGATTTCTAAAAAATGCCATTACAGGGAAATTAAAGGCTTAGGAGAGCGCCTGTTTGGTCTAGACAAGTTAAAAGTAGAAGCTAAGAAGTTATATCAAGAACAGGTGGATTTAGCACAGGTAGGTGCCTACATTACCAGTACAGTTTATATTGATCTCTAATAAATAAATCACTATTATTTTATCCACTTTAGTGACCATAGGGACAACTGACTGATAAAACAACACAAACATCTGTTAATAAATTATATATATATATACGAGTAGGCCCGTGCGAAAAATTCGCAAAACCTATTGTTAAGTGATCTAATACCAAATTAATGAGAAAATAAAATAATGCAACGTATCAAAAGATAAAGAAATCAATTGTTACTTTATCAATAAATATAATCGACAAAGAAAAAAAATTAATTTAAAAACTTCGTTAATGTTTGGAACCTACATGTTTACAAATTTGAATTAGCTGTATCTTGTCTGTAAAAGATTGTAAAAATTGTCCGATTTCGATGATTTTTTTTTACCTTTTGCAGGGAATTTAGTAATCATGGGCATAACCAAGGGAAAAATGTGTAATTTTTTAGTTATTCGCCAATAAAGTTTCTTTTCTTTCATAACTTGTTTGCCTGAATTTTCGGGGTGGTTGGACTATTTTGCCCGCCTGAAGGAGAAGGAAGCCTTCAAAATTGGTGGCCCAATCTTGAGGTTTGGTGAAGAATTAACAATGATGTGGCTTACTGATCAAAAACACCATCATAATATAAACTTCTCCTCTCTCGATCATAGAGGTCTGAAGTCGACAAAATGAGACATGTATTCAATGAGAGTACTATAATTAACATATCTTTACAGCACAATTTGTCCCGTATCGATCTACAGACTTAACACCGTTCCAGTATTGAAGTCTAGCAAAATGTTTGTATCGACTTAATTTATTTTAGAAAGAAAAACAAAAGTGAAGAAAACGATTCGCTAACCCCCCGTGAAATTCTGAATCCAACGGTATCCCATTCATGGTATTTGAGAATGACAGGAGCTTATATTTGGTACAAAACCGATTTTTAGCCTTACTGTAATAATGTAGAATAGAATAGAAAACAGAACTTTATTCTGGGACTAAGCCCCCTTAGAATAACAAAGATGAATTAATACAAAATAAAATACCAATCTGGCCAAAAACTAACTTATAAAAATTTTAACATAATATACATTATTTAAAAAGTAGTATGTAACCACTAAGAAATAAACAAAAAAAAATATACGTAAATATAAATACACGCACATATACATACGTACACACACGTAAACATACATACACACACATAAACATACACATATATATATATATATATATATATATATATATATATATATATATATATATATACATATAAATACATACACATACACACACATATACACACACATACACATACATATATAAATGAACATACAATCTTCTCCAAATTTACTTATTATTACGAAAAAAAAAAAAAAAAGAAAAAAAGACAGAAAAGAAATTACATATCTATATATACATAACTGCACAATTTATAAACAATAGGCTATCTAATAGAAACATAATTTAATACAAAATGTAATAATATTTACAGTGATTCATACAATAATAAGGAAACACTAAGATAAAATAAAATCTCAGGAATAATTGTGGTATAAAGGTAAAAAAGGAACTATATATACGTACTTACTCATATTGCTACACAGTGAGACAAAAAGTATAAAATATAAACATATATACATGAAAGAAAAAGCACAACCTGAGGTGAAGAGAAATACAAATAAATAGTAAAAATAATAGTCAAAAAATCATTGCTGTTTTATGTTAAAACTTAAACTGTAGGCATCACCATATACTTCTCACAAATTCAGTTCATAAAATGAAATTTATGGTTGCGAATCGTCTGTTTGGGATGTGAGGAGATATTGGAAAAGGAGGTATTTGAAGGTTGACAGTGAAGAGGCATGGCGGATGTTATGTGGTAAAGAATTCCAGTAGGTGACGGAGCGGGCTAAGAAGGAACGTTCATAGATTTTTGTCTTGTGTAATGGAATATAGAGGTCAGAATCATGGGATCTCGTTTTTATTGAGTGGACTAAAGGTTTCGGCTGGAGGAGACAGTAGATATAGGAAGGGTGCTGGAAGTTGATCGTTTGGTATAAAAAATTTCCAAGGAAGTATAGGCGGCGGGAAGAGGGGAAGAGCCACTTTGACTCGGTATATAGGTGGGACACATGAGATCATCTCGAAGTGCCGAAGATAAATCTTAAAAAACAGTTCATGATTCTCTTCAGTCTGTCCTCAAGCTCCAGCGAGGATATACCACACAGCCATATTCAAAGTAGGGGAAAATCAATGAGGAAACGAGGAGCTAGCGGATAGGTTGTGGGAGATGCTGACGAGAACGATGAAATAGTTTAAGTGTACCAATTGACCTTCTGGAGATATGAGCAATATGGAGTTTCCATGATAGGTTTTGATCAATGGTAATTCCTAAGTTTTTACAGAGGAGGAGAAGGAGATTGGTTGGTCATTAATAATCAAGGAAGGAAGGGTGGAGATGGATCTAAGGAGGGAGTTGGAACCTATAAGAATCGCCTGAGTTTTTGATGCGTTTAAGTTTAATTTATTCAAGCTTGCCCAGGCACTGATCCTATCTAGGTCTTTCTGAACATTCATAAACGCTTCTAATAACTCAGTGGGCGGAAAGGAAAGATAAATTTGGGAGTCATCAGCATATAGATGGTATGAACAATGGTGGGTTGAACTAGGAAGGTCATTGATGTAAGAATTAAAAAGGATAGGAGAAATGCTTGAACCCTGGGCTATTCCATGAGACAAAGTGAGGAAAGAAGATAAGGGTTGATTCGGAATACTAACAGCTTGAGTCCTGTCAGAAAGGAAGGATTGGACAGATGAATATGGAGAGATAGTGATTTAATAGTGATAGAATGGTCTAAGGAATCGAATGCTTTGGAGAAGTCCAGGAATACCAATACAGTCAGTTTTCTTTCGTCAATTGCAGTATGTATGTCGTTTGTGATTTTGACTAAAGCGGATTGAGCGGAGAAGCCCGGGCGAAAGCCAGATTGGAGAGGATCTAAAAGTTTGAACTCTTCAAGAAAATTGGAAATTTGGGATTGGACTATTCTTTCGAGGGGTTTTGACAGATTTGAGAGGATGGAAAGTGGACGATAGTCTTTAGGAGAGGTTGGGTTAGGGATTTTGTTAATAGGACGGACTAAGGCTTTTTTCCAAGATGTAGGGAAAACAGAATATATGTGGGGATATGTATATATTTGTATATGAATATGAAACACTATTAATATCAAACAAATTTTGGAACCATTAGTCATTTTAATACAACTTATAAACTAATTAATAAATAATATATATATATATATATATATATATATATATATATATATACATGTGTGTATGTGTATATATATATATATACAGGGTGTAGTATATATAAATATGTATATATATATATATAGAAGTAGTTATCGAGGTGCGTCAAATAATAAAAATTAAATATATAATAATATTTACGAAGTTCGACCACTGAGGTCTCATGGCGTAGGTGGCACTGTGGAGCATGATAAAACTATGAATTATCATGCTAAGTGTCAATGTATATATAATTTATTAATTAGCTTATAAGCTGGATTAAAATGACTATTGGTTCCAAAATGTCTTTGATGTTGATAGTGTTTCTTCTCAAAGTAGAATAATGAGTAATAGAATGAACATGAGGTCTGGAAAGAGATTTTCCATTACGTTCTCATCAGAGAAAATTATGACTGCCAAATGATTGAGTAGCCTCTATTATGTAATTATCTTCTTTTATATAAATATGAATGATCTTTGAATAATTTACTTGTTTCTCTACTTAAGAACATCCACCAGACATTTTTTGAAAAATCTATTGAATTATTCTATAGCCTACAAGACTGAATAGGTTGCTTTAGGTGATATAGGAACTCTGTGAATCATACCTCCTTCAAGAGTTGTCAAATCCCAGGGTGTACCCCAAATATTGAGATATTTCCTTGTTAGGATTTTCATTTTCTAGTGAAATCTTTTAAAACACATTTAATCAATATTGTAAATATGATTCACAATATGATATCAGAGATATTCCAAAAAAAAAAAAAAAAAATGATATAATTGACTGAGGCGTTCAGACCAAGAAAGAATTGTTAAAAAAGTTAATAGTGTTAAGCTATTGCTTTCATGTTCTCAGAATATTTTTGATTCTTTGATAAACTGTTACAGAAAAATTGAAAATTATGTTTTGGGGTATCTCCAGTAGTAGTCAAGCTGAATGGCTATTTTTAGAAAAACCTAACTTCTATATTTATATGATCATTTTATGACTTATATGATTCTTATCTACTTGAGGTAGAGGAAGTATGCTAATAGACCAAAAGAAGTTGTCTTTTAGATCTCACTCTAATTGTAAAATTTAGAGTCGTTGAGTCTAGATTAATGATTACAAGTGTGGTCTGAAACTTTTCGTTTCTGACTGCTACGTGAAGATGGCAGCACAGCACTCATAAATAAAAGCAAGTGTATTTCGTTGTACATCTGTTGACAGTTACCCACCAAAGTTTCAGCCAGTTTGGACACGCAATTTTTATTTAACAATTGTTTGAATGAGTTGATGTGAGTGTTTTTGTGAAAACGGACAAAATCGAGTATCGAGCGGTCATTAAATATTTGTTTTTGAAGGGCAATATGCCTATGCAAATCAAAGATGAGAGGATTCTGTTGATGGGGACTCTGCACTATCATTTGCCACAGTAAAATTTTGGGCAGCTGAATTTAAACATGGCTGTAAGAGCTTGGGAGATAATGAACGTCCAGGACATCCAAAAATGACAACTACCTACGAAAACATCGCCAAAGTTCACCAAATGGTGCTAGACGACTGCCGAATTAAAAGTGAGAGAGATAGCAAAGGTTATGAACATGTGAAAAAAGTGTTTGTTTCATATTAAATCAACATTTAATATGAGATATGAGAAAGCTGTCCGCACGTTGGGTGCTGTATTTGCTAACGTTAGACCAAAAATGTGTTTGAATGAACTTTTCCAACCCTCTGTTGAAATGAAATGAAAATATATTTATTATTCTGAGACTGTTGTCCCTTCAGAACAAATTATAAGTATAGATTACATGTCTGTGTGGTCATAATTAAATTTTGTATTTTCAATAAGAGTTAATTAACAAGAAAATTCTACATATACATATATATATATATATATATATATATATATATATATATATATATATATATATATATATATATATATATATATATACATATATATATGACAGACATAGCAAACTAAAATAACCTAAATAAATTGAAGTAGCCTCTGGGGATACTTACATAGTTCTCTTAGGTATATTTCGTAATCAGTCGAATTGAGAAAGGAGTAGGTGTTTAATGAGATGAGAGGTTTGAAAGAGGAAACTGATTGTGTGTGTCGAATATCAGCAGGGATGGCATTCCAGAGGGAGGCAGCTTGAATTGCAAAGAATTTGTCAAATGCAGCATTTAGGTGAGGAGGTATATAGAGGTTGGAAGTACGAGATCTAGTGTGATGGAATTGTATGGAGTATTTAAATTTTAAGCTGTGAAAGATATAGGAGGACCGATGAGTTCTAATGATGTCGTACAGAAAGTACCAGATACTAGGAAGTACTGGCGGTGATAGGATGGATAGAGCCACTTCAACTCGGTGTAATACTGGGTAATATGTGTATCTTTTGAGATTCTGAAAACAAAACGTATTGCGCAATTTATTAGGCATCTAAGTTAGGCCTCGAAATCTCTCGAGAGTCCACCGTACACCATACAGCTATAGTCGAAGTGAGGGAAAACAAGAGAGGAAACTAGGAGTTGACGGGACTTATATGGAAGGAGATAATTTAACTGTTTTAGGGTGGAAATAGAGCAATGGGAAATTTGGGAGATGTGTGGTTTCTAGGAGAGGGTTTGATCAAAAATAACACCTAGGTTTTTAACAGTATTATAGAATAAAATAGGTGAGTTGTTCAGAGTGCCGATTGAGTCTTTTAATCCCCTGGCCCGGGAAAATCCCGTATAGCCTTAACGGCGAGGAAGGACAGGACCCCAAAAAAAAAAAAAGTGAAAATTGTTCAGGAGAAGATTATGAGGGGATACCAGGAAGGATTTGAGGAGTGAGGGGGATTCGATCAAGATGGCTTTCGTCTTCTTGGCATTCAGAATGAGCAGTTTAATTACTGTAGATGAAACTTGGATACACCATTATACGCCCAAAACAAAAATACAATCCAAACAGGGAACTGTAAATGGGGAACCGGCTCCAACAGAAGCAAAAATTGTTTTCTTAACTGGGAAAGTGATGGTGACTGATTTTTAGGATATTGATGGAGTTATTTTAGTCGACTATCTTCAAAAAGGAAAAACCATTATAGAAGCGTTCTGCGCATCATTACCTGTCCAGCGGGGAACTCCTTCCTTTAGTTTAGATCCTATTATCCATCTTAGTATTTTCCTTTCAAATCGATCTGTTAGTTCGATCAATACAAAGATGCTTACAATCTTAAAAATAGCGCATGTAAATTATCTGTTAGAGTTTTATGGGTTTTTTTTTCCTAATCATTGAATTGATTGTTTAGGGTATAGAGAGGTGTTCTACCTTCTAAAAATTATGTATATCTGATTTTTTCCAATAACTTTTATACATCAAATTTATAGTAAAAAATCCAGAAACCTCTCTCATTTTAGTTCTAATGTGTTCAGTTTCGTATCATATTGAAATTAGTTTGTTTACCGGTTTTAAAGATATTAGATGAAGTGAATAAAATGTGCAATCATATGGGAATATGGTTTCTAAGTTATAAGTTGTAATAAATATTTATAAGTGACACAATTTTTCTAAGGCAGATAATAAAAAAAATTTAGTTTAAAGATATAATTTATTATATGCCAATAGCTTATCCTATTATTAAAAAATATGTTTGTTTAATAGGCATTTGTTCATAACCAATTAAGAGCAAATAATTTGGGTGATGCTAGTATTCTTCCTGACCTTTGTGCATCTCACAAAAAACAGCTGATGGTAATGCTAAAAAACCACATGCAATTGAGAGATTTAAAGAGAAGAATTTATAAAGCAAAGCAAGAGTTGGTTATTAACCTTCATCACCGATTAAAGTAAGTTTGTTTGGTTTTAAACAATTATTCATACACAACTTACATTTATAATGAAATTTAATCATATATTACATTGAAGAAAGAGATGGCCGGGGTGGCGGTCATAAAAAAAAAAAAAACTTAAAATAGTAAAAATCAGTATTATTTTATTTTTATGACTGCCACCCCGCACCATCTCTTCTCTCAATATTATACCATGGTCATCCATTAAGGTCAGCGCACAATGGACCCTTCAGGGGTCGATGTGCCCTGAGCCAACATTAAAAAAAAAAAATGGTCAACCATTGAGTACTCTATGTATTACATTATTTTTCCCCATCTCCTTATTTTATGAGAAAGAGTTGGTCGGAGGGTGTGGTCAAATAAATACTATCTATTTTTTTTTTTAATGAATTTTTTATTTTTTATTTCTTAATGATATTTACAACTGTATTAAAGAAATACATTTAGTAAATTTGAACATATGGATATAATGACGTGAAAACACTTGTTGAGAAACTACCCAATGGTAGCACTCTAATGATATGTCTACATTAGGAGATCACGGGGCCATCTTCTTTTCAGAAGCCTCAGAGGGTTATCAGGAATTGAACAGGAAGCAAGGTTAGAAACGAGAGGGTTCGGATGATTCTGAAGTTTATTATGGAAGGATAGGTATCTGGATGGGGCCAGATTTGAAATATAAGAAATATTAAAGTCATTATGGATGGTTTTATTTGTAACAAAGTAGGGAGCATTAAGGATTTTGGATTGTAAGGATTGGATATGAGAGGAATTCGATGGTTTAGTGGAGCCCCACAGCTCAACTCCGTAAGACTAAATAGGCCAATAGGAAAATATTATAGTCATGCATATAAGTCTTTTGTAATTAATTGGAAGATTAGAGCATTTGTCTAGCAAATGCTGAAGTAATCGGAAACGTCGAGCGGTTTCTTGTTGTTTCAGTCTGGTATGAAAATACTATCTATTAAAACAGTATTGTATTATTAACGCCAATCTCCTTCTCATATTATAATCACAGTCAACCATCTCTACATCATTATGAATTCTCCTTATTTTATCTTTTATTCTTTATCATTTCTATAATCTTTCAGAATAGAAATAAAAATCATCAATCTTAACTTTCTTATTTCATTCTGGTACTACTAATTATTTTTTTCCTTCAGGTGGGTCATGTTTACGGAATGTCGCATCAACGAACTTGAGATGAAGCTAATGATGTACCGTGAATGCCTGAAACGATTGAGGAAGCACCTGACAATATTGCAGCAGCTCCACATGGCTCCATCGGTCTACATGACAGCTGTGTCTGAAGTTGTTCGTCGGCGAGATTTCTCTCAGGCATTTCTTGTGGTAAAGAATCTTTTTTGTTTTAAGCCTTTCATTTTTGATATTGACATATGTATAGAAAAAAACTTTTAATATCTTATAAAAGCCCTCTTAAAATAGCAAATAACTATTACTATATTTTTCTAACTATATTTCAATGTCTATAGTTTTAAATTCTCTATCAGTAAATATAATTTATAGTTATTATAGATAATTTTATAATTATATATAATAACTATTTCTAGTAAACAGATATTTCTATTGATAGTACAAATGCTAAGAGTTTGAGTTTAATGGATTTAATGGAAAATGCAGAAGATTCATTGATAGAGTAGGTTTAGAAGTTAAAGAAATATGTAACTGAAATAAAAAAACAATTTGTTAATAGAAGCCAGTTATATGAAGTAAAATATACAAATTGATAAGTATGTATTTTGTATTTAAATTATGAATAGAAGAAAGCAGAGTGAGAATATTATACAGGGTGTTTCGTAATTGCACGGCACTATTTTAGTTAAATGTTCACTAACACAAAATAAACAAAAACGTTCATATTAACATATATCTCAAACTCATTTATTAAACAGGTATCAAAAGTTAACAATTTATTATTTATTTATTATTATTACAACATTTAGAGTAACAGTTCAAAGGGGCCTTCGTATTGTTGAATGCAACATTCAGCATGACGAATCCATGCTTCTCTGGGTCTTCGTATATCATAAGGATGGTGCTTGATAGTTACTTCGGCTTCCACGATCCGATTTCTTTACTCTTCTTGCGTGCCAACTGCCGCAGAATAAACCATAGACTTCATCCAGCCCCACACAAAATAATCTAATGGCGTTAAATCTGGAGATCGTGGTGGCCATTTAACAGATCTGTTTCTACCAACCCATCGGTCTCCTTAAGTTGTATTTGAATAATCAGTGACACTATTAGAAAAGTGAGCTGGAGCACCGTCATGCATAAGCCACAGCCTTTGCCTAACGCCTAGCGGAATATCTTCTAGGAGTTCATGAAGATTATTTTGCAAAAAATGCAAGTAAGATATACCTGACAGCCTAGATGGCAAAAAGAAGAGGCCGATAATGTTGTCGCTTAGAAGACCACACCAGACATTTAAAGAAAAGGTATGTTGGTAATGTCCAACAGCAGTCGTATGAGGGTTTTCTTCATCCCAAGTATGGGTATTTCAAAAATTAAGAATCCCGTTTCTTGTAAAGGAAGATTCATTAGTAACCAAAATGCAGTTCAGGAAGTTAGGAGCTCGTGTTCATTGTCGAATTAACCACTGGGAGAAATTTCTGTGCTTGTTGTAATCTTGTGGTAACAAATCTTGCCTACTCGATATGTGAAATGGATACAATTGTTGTTTGCCATACGCTGGTAGAGCAAACATCGAAATGACGTGACAACTTGTGGTACTAGTAGTAGGAGATAACTGAACAGCATCGAGTATTTCTTCTTCAATGTTTCCAGTTCTTCAAAATCTTTGTTGACCGGCATTTACTCTTATAGATTTTAGCATGCCATTATCCCTAAGGCATCTTTCAATGGTCTCTTCGGTTACTTGACATCTTCGGTTAGGAAATTTTTACGATATCTTCGAATGGCAGCCACACCATTTCTATGTAACTCGCCATAACTTAAAAGCATGTCTGTTTGTTCTGCAAATACATTTATGGTGTCTTCCATGATAATCATAAATTGAACTGTGTCAGTATTCACTCACACTAAAACACACAGAACTAGGCAAACAGATGAGCAACTATTGTCATTGCTTATCGTTCATTTGTTTATCATGTGATTTAAATCTGTTGTTTAGCATTAAACATGTTACACTTTGTACAGTCAGTCTTAATATAATAAATAAATAATAAATCTTTAACCTTTGATACCTGTTTAATAAATGAGTTTGGGATATATGTTAATATGAACTTTTTTGTTTATTTTGTGTTAGTGAACACATACCTAAAATAGCGCCGTGCAATTACGAAACACCCTGTGTATATAGCTTACGGGAAGCTCTGTTTATTATATGGATTTCAGGAAAGTATTGTGATTGGAAATATAAATCAAATCTCAAGTTGGAAGGTTAGGAAAGAGTTTATAAGGAGTAATAACTAAGACATACTGGGGCATATTATATGAAGAGGAGGACAAAGATTCCCCCAAACATTTTAATCAATAAAGAATAATTTACAAATTGAAAGTGATTATTTATTGAATTGGACCTGAATGAAAATAGGTTTAAAACTAGAAACTAATAATTTGTTTTGCTATTATAATAAAATACAAATTCCATGCTATAAAACAGGTATGTTAATCTGCAAACAAACAAAATCAATCAACTGATATAAGGTGAAAAAGAGGATAGGCTAGAAACATATGGTTATGAGATTTGGAGGAAGGCATGGCTGACAGATTTTTGGGGGGACTGGCTTCATCGAAAGAAGTGGCTCAAATTTTGTAGTCCTTGGTACAGATCACTTTTTAATATACCCCTAAAACTTCGTGAATAGCTTCATCTCATCCCAGCCTAAAACTATTTTATTTATGAAAACTCTTGGAATTGGAGTGTTTTCAATCTGGAGGTCAGCAAACTTTGTTTTTTTTAATTAAGAACTAAAAACTCATATATACCCATTTGCTTTCCACTTGGCTCATAAGATAATTTGATCACAAAATCGAGAAAAAAAGGTGACCTTCCAAAATATTAGTCTGTTTGGCCTGTATAACCTTGTTATTTTGACATTTTGGGAGTGTAGATCACACCAAACAGCTCAATATTTTTGAAGGCCACCATTTTTTCTCGATTTTATGATCAAATTATCTTAATGACCCAAGTGGAAAGCAAATGGGTATTTATGAGTTTTTAGTATCTAATTAGATAGACAAAGTTTGCCGATCTCCAGATTAAAAATGCCCCTATTCAAATAAAATAGTTGTAGGTTGTGATGAAATGGAGCTGTTTCCGATGTTTCAGGCGGATGTTAATAATTTGATAAAAAGGGATCTGTACCTTCAACTATTAAGGCATGACAAATGACTATGCTTTAAAAAAATTATAATAAAACTGTTTATTTTCTTTTGCATGGCACTAAAACTTTATAAGCATTCTTTTAAATTTGATTAAAAATAGTATAATATCCACTGAGTACAATACTTCCTACTTCTGTTTATATATATATTAAAATTTATTTTATGGCCAATTCTCATTAAAAAACAAAAATTGATTAACTATTCCGAGGTTTCACTACTATCACTACAGTAGTATTTGGTTTTGTATTTAAAATTTTGACGTTTGAAAGATGAGCTAGAGTTTCTTCTCTTAATTATGCTGTTATTCATTGTTTTTATAGATATTTTGTATATACTATCATAAATTATTAATAATAGCAAAGTACTCTTTATTAGATGATTAATATTTATTTGTAATGAATTGCAACATGAAAATTCCGCATTAGTAATTTTTTATTTTATTGTTATCAGTATAGTAAATAAACCTGATTACATTTACTACCTTTCAAAATATTGTAAATCAATCAGTATATTTTAATTTTAAAAATATATATTGCTGTTCTACAGTGGGCTAATGACCTGGCTTGTCAGTTATGCGCCATATATTCTGAAGAAGTTGCTCGTCGGAAAAACTTTCATTCTCAGTTTGAAGGACACTTTTTGTCATCATTATTTCCTGGCCTTGAGGACATGCCTCCTTCATTTGCAACACAGCCTCCTGAACCATTTGATGATTGCTTGCCTAAGGTATCTTTATTTTTATAGTTATTGACTTATACTGAATATCTGGAACTGAGAAGTAATCAGTTATGTTTCTTTTCTAAATATATATCTTAGATAATATCATTATAATTGTAATATTGAGTTTGATGTTTTATGAAACAGTTTTTTTTTCAGATTTATTTATTTAAATAAATTAAGTAGTTTATTTAAACAAAAACTTGTTGGGTTATTCAATTCAGTTAAAATATATAAATCACATTGTTCTATATGTCCTTAAATGCTTGACTTTTATTATTGATTGCTTGAATTTTATCCTTAGATTAAGCCTTAGGTATTTGTTTTATTGCTTAAAAATAATTAATTGTAGTTTGTCATATTTTATAGCTGATTAACATAACGTAATGGTGTATTACCATTAATTTTTGCACCATCTATTAACACATTATATTTACTTATAATTACTAAATTATCAATTATCATTAATTTTTTGTTACTGCTAAAGTTGTCATTTTTCATCTTAAGTATATTAGCCACTCGGAGAGGTTGCGAATATGTGTGGTAATCAATTTTAATTGAAACAATTTTTTGTAATACAAGCTTAAAAAATATTAGGCACATGTCTGAGGGTTCTATTGCTACACATTGGGGATAGGGTGGCCTAGTGAGCTAATGCATTTAGAACACCATGGCAGTCGCCTGGCAGCCTGATAACCTGAAGATTAAGAGTTCGAGTCCCAGTGCTGGGAAAGATTAAAACTTGAGAAACTTAAAACCTTATAACAATTAGTTTTTCAAATAATATAGTTCATTAAACGTTAACACTACTTTCTAAAAAAAAAATGTAAATTAATATTAAGAAAACATTTCATTAGTTTCAATTGATGGAAATATTAATATAGTCATTTTCTGTTAAATTAACAGTTTTTAAAGAGAAAGCATAATGAAGCTCCCCAATGAATAATGGTAAATAAGTGAGTTAAGCCAAATGTGGTTAAATAACAGGTATATAGTTAAAATGTAATGAACATACTGTTCTCTAGCTTTTGAAGAATAAAGCAGAGAAACTGTTAATTACTAAATCAATTGGGATAACCAGAGTGGAAGGTTCAAAGTCTTGCTCTTTACCACTTAAGCATTCCCAAACATTGAGATTATATTTATCTACTTATTAAATGTTTAATAGTTGACTATATTGATAATCAAAGATAACATTGTTCAGGTGGCTGTTACGAAATAAATTATAAAGAAACCATGATTCTGCATTCCGTTCTAGTCTTGGCAATACTCTGGACCAAGAGTTACTCGATGATTTGCTATTATGTTAGTTTGTTTCTGGGACTTTCCTACTCATTTTTAGTTTTCAATGCGGTTTTTCTTATCATTTTTCTATGCTTGTTTAATTTCTTCAAAAGTCGTTATGAGCTTAAATCTCAGTATGGGCCTAAGTAACATAAATTTTTCAGTATGGCAGTTTTTTACTTTAAAAAATTATAATTCTTATTTAATGTTTTGTATAATTCATATTTCATAATATTATAGGCTAATGTGTAGCATTTCAAAATGAAATATGTTATTTTATTTGCATTTCAATTTCATAATTATTTGAAGACAAAAAAAATAGCTTCAACTAGTCACATAATTCGTGATTTATCGCATTTTCAATGCCACGCCTATTTTTACTTAGAGTGGAATAAATTTAAAAAAATAAAATATTTTTGAAAAATTAATTTAATAACCAAACGAGCCAAATAAAGAGGACCCTACTTAAAAAAAAAAAAAAGACAAATTGTAAGGAAAAGTAAAGAAAATATCAGGCCTGAGTGTCAAACATAGCCAAACAAAGATGGCTTGTTAAAATATTGAATATCAAATTATTACTTATCTCCTAAACGACTATGAAAAATTCAGAAACATAAAAGGTTAATGAGGGGAGAAAATCTTAGTATAAAATCAAAAAGGGATATTTAAACCTCCCTCCCCTCCCCCCGCCCCCCCAAAAAAACATATTGTTACATGGTTGAGTAATATCCTTAGCCTGAGGAAAGCCAAGCCAAAGTCAACGAACACATAGAATAATGTTTTTCTTTTATAATTCTTTATTTACTCTTTATTATCTATATATTTGATTTTCAGGTAGTCTATTTTAATTTCTTTTCTTTCTTTCACATTTTTTCATCCTTTTCTACATTAATGCTCCATTTTCTATATCTGTTATCACCGCCCAATGCAGAATATTTTATATATTTGGCATTATGTTCTTTGTGAAGATTTCTTCAAAGTCAGAGTACCTGTTATTATCACATTATAGGATTATAATCTAGATAAGCAAGTGTAAAAAATAAATCATACATAAATATAAATTTATCTAAAGAAATATATTAATGTGCTTATTTATTCTTATTAAAATATATTACAGTTGACTGTTGAAGATATTGAAACTCTTAAGACCCAGCTGCCAAGATTAGAACTGTTGGTATCAGTTCCAGATACATCATCGATCACTCAATTTTTTTTCAGTAGATCTTCTACCAATCTTAGACCTGAGCCTCCGAATCCCACTGCTTCCATTGAAGACAGAATTGTAAGTTTTTCAAAATAAAACTCAAGTTATAATTTTACCATTAATCGTTTATTGATTAAATGTATTCATTAAATCTTACTAAAAATGAAAAACCAAAATAAGAATGTTTATCATAAATCAAGTTAAGTTCAACTACAGTCATTGACAATTGCATTCAATACCCTTATGTTTTCAGAATGGCCATCTAGAAGTTGTTTTGTGAATGGTTAAAAAAAATATCAATATAAATTTTTTAATGAAATATGCATCCATACTAGAGATATTTTCATAAAATGAAGCCTTCACCATAAGTGTTGAATTTTATGTAGTCTTCAAGCTATATAGGAATTTTGTTTTAAAAAAAGGTTGAAGCTGTCACAGCAGCAGGGCTTAGCAGTAATTTGGATCCTGCGTTGTTGCAGCCTGCGACGGAATGTAGCCAATCGTTAGTGCAGTCAGCTACTACAACAACTCAGCCTATCAGCAGTGATAGGTAAATTAATTTTAAATAGCATCTTTTAATATGTTTGTTGTGTAATTATACCTTTTTATTTCTTTATTTTCAACCTACAGGCATAAAAATATACTTTACAGGGGATTTGAATCGGAAACAGACACCGAGGAGTTTGAAAAATTTGTACAGAGTCCAGGTGATGCTTGTGTTGAGAAGCAACTAGATCCTATCAATCATGACAAGGTAATGAATATTTAATCACATTATTTTTAATTAAATATTAATTTGTTTAATATATTGTGTGTTCGGAAAAGTTTCTGCCGTTTGTTGCCTAGAGAATTTTTGTTTACCTCCTTGCATTTGGCAACACTGAAATCACCTTTATTCAAGAGCTGATCCTCTACTCAGGTATCATTCTATTTTAAATCCTCAAAGTGTATACCCTTTTCATATTTCTTCAATCATGGTGAATTTCACTCCCTCAAAACCGTTTTTTTTTTTAGAAATTTTATTACTCTATTTTTTCCAAAATAAAATTGCTGCTGAAGGGCATAGAATTTTTGTGGAAACTTACGGCAATCATGATCTATCAAAAAGAGCATGCTTGAATGGTTTAACGCTTTAAAAGCAATGATTTTGATCTTGGAGTTGACAACCATCCAGGCGCCCAATAAAAGATTGGAGATGAAGATTTGGAGGTTTTATTTTTTGAAGGTCCATTCCAGACACAAGAAGAACTTGGAGAATCATTTGGAGTTGATCGGACAATAGTTGCTAAACGTTTAAAAGCTTTAGGAATGATTTAAAAGCAAGGGAATTTTGGGTGCTCTATCAATTGAAGGAAAGGGTTATCTAACAATGTTTATTCACCTGCTTCAACTACAAAAAAGAAAAGGATTTTTGCTTTCTATCGTAATTGATGATGAAAAATGAATAATAAAAAAATTGGTGAGGACTGCTCGGACATGCCTCAACATTGACAGCAAAGCCTAACATTCATGATTCCAAGCTTGTGCTTTGTATTTGGTGGGATCAGCTTGATCTATTATCATTTATTATAAGCTGCTTCAGCCCAATAAAACCATCACAGGATATCGCTGTAGATTATAATTGATGCTTTTGAGCCAAGCCCTGAAGCAAATGTGACCAATATATGAGTAGAGACACAATTAGGTAATTTTACTGGAAAATAATGCTCAACCTCACGTTGCAAACCCAGTTAAAACTTATTTGGAAACACTGAAATGGGAAGTTCTGCCCCAACTGCTGTATTCACCATATATTGCTCCTTCCAACTACCACTTGTTCCAGTCTCTGACTCACGGCCTGGCTGAGCAGCGCTTTGATTCTTATGAAAAAACTAAAAAAAAAAAAAAAAAAAGGTTGATAACAGGATTGCTTCAAAAGACATTTCTTTTTTTTTTTTTTTTCAACCTGGAATTCTTATGTTACTTGAAAGATGGAAGAAAGTAGTGATTGGCGATAGACAATACTTTGAATGATCTGTGTCTGACCATTTTTTTATAAATAAAGTTTTTATTTTTATATAACTGATGCATATTTTTGAAATTATTAAAATTCTAATTGTATTTTGATGATTTGAGTTCTACCAATGGGTAGTTTCTCTTTCTGTTGTACATGTCATATTACCAATGTCACATTTACTTGTTGTATTTTCCATGTAATACAGTTGTAAATTTCATAAAATAAAAAAAAAGTATTTTGATGAACAACAATTATTTTTCAAATATTAAACAACACTTTGATCTAAATGATATTTACTCCCTTTTAATTTAATCAAATAAAAATACAAGTATTATTCTATCTTTTATTTATCAATGAACTGGTTAAAAGAAAATTTTATCACTTTAATCTCATTCGTTGATTGTAATGATTGTTCACTTATATTAGATAATCTCTAAGAATTATTTTTTATGGTTTTATTTTGCTTAATGTTTTAAATAAAACCGTGAGATTGACAATTGCTTACAATATTTTTTCATACATTAAATAAATTAATAATCTCTGTGAATAGGCATTAAGGCTATTTAGAAACAGCCCTTACTGAATTGATAGACTGCACTCAATCAATCTGAAGAATGGCCTCTACTAATTCCACTATTTGGTGACATTAAAATGTTTTATATTTATCTGCTCCCTTACCTTTAGATCCATATACTAATCTCTAAATAAATAATGGTTAATAAACTTCACAGGAGATAAATAATCAGAAATCAGTCATTTTGGGATTTTTTATTGTTGCCTACTGGCTCAAAAATTAATAATCTCAAAATGGCTGCTTCTTGATTACAAAGCAAGTTGAGATTTATCTCTAGTGTAAGTTTTGTAAATAAATAATGTGATTTGATATCCTATCATCTAACAATACCCGTGTTTTCATAAAAAATTATAACAAATTACTGCAAAGCTTTTGTTTCTTGTTTTTCCTTAACCTGTCATGTTTTATAATAAAAATAACTGCATGATACACTTTTTATTTATAAAAAAAAAAATTGTTAAAAATAATGATTTATTTAGTGTGTTTTTATTAAGATCTCTGATGCAGAAATTGAATCATCTTTATAAATGGCCAACTAACTGTTTCCAATCCTAACATTTATGTTTAAAACAAAGATACCTTTTCATTTCTTGAATTACTTTCATGAAAACCTAAAGTTTAGGATTAGGAACATTTATATTTACTTAAAAATACGGATCTATTCATATAATAAAGATTAGGGTTAAAAATATACTATCGTTACTATTTTAGATGATGAATGATTATTTTTAACATTGTTTTTGTATACTAGCGGGATATCCCCCTGTCCGCCTAATGGCGCTCCAACCTCCATTTAACAAATTATACAATTGTTTATTTATTTACATATGTGTTGATCTCCTGTAAGTGCCCTAATCTCCTAATACAAAATGAAGAGTTAAGAACCGAAATGATAGTTTGCATAATCGCCTTAGGAGAGCAGCACTATCTATCCTAAAGGACTTGAGTTGAGCTCCTGCTCTCCTAATATTGAATAGAGATTTTCATTCTGGTTTGTTTCGTTACAGTCCATCCCACTTTGTAGATGTAAAATAAAATATCAATCCATAAAAACTTTTGTATATAATGGAGAGATAAAATGTACATTTATGTTTATTATAATATATTATAGCTCATGGAAAAAAGATAATTACAGCTTTGTTGTAATTTATTGTAGCCACTTTTGCCGAAAACACAGGTACTTTTACTTAACAGGATATCAAATCACATTTTTTTACACAACTTGATATAAATCTAAACTTATTAAACAAGAAAGTTTTTATAGAATTGGGTTGGGATATCTTTGTTATTTATAGTTAAAAGGTGATAAAAAAAAATCACTTATAATTCTAGACTTTTTCAAAAAAATATATTAGCTTAGGTTAGCTGCCACAAAAATTGATATAAATATGAATTGAGGTGTTGCCTCGCAGTTCCTTGCTGTTTCTTATTTCTCCTCTTAGCTGCGCCCCGGTGGAGGTGGAAATGATGAACGGTGATTCACCTGGAAATGATTATAGTTTGCTTCATTCAGTTTTTGGGTGTTGTATCTTGCTTTATTCAGTTTTTTGGTGTTTTCCAACAGTCCGAATAAATGGTGCTTCCCTCTTCTATATTATTTTTAATACATTCTAATAAAGTTCTTGCCTTTCTGTCCTTTATTTTTACAATGAAACACTCGGCAAACTCTGCCAAACATCCATTGTTCAGGAAGAACTCTCCCTACATGATTTTTTTGTGTAGAAAAAAGACTCGTCTACTTCAACCACTTTCCCAGGCCCTTCAATTTTCTTTTTTGACCTGTATAACATGTTATGTCACAAATCTCTCTTAAAAATTTGTCCCACATTATGATACATTTGTTCGATGGTTTCAGTTGCTCTTCGCCCCACTTTATTGTTGTCAAATTATGAGACCATCCATAAATAAATTTTAAAGCGGTTGAAAAGGTAATCTTCGACCCCTCTAACCATATCCCTTTCCTTATCGATACCTTTTTCTTACAACTCTTACGAAAGCATCTCCAGTACGTCTTCCCGACGAACTTCATTTAATGACCTTCATCACAATATTTCACACCTTCACAATAATTCCTGCATCTTGAAAATATTTGATAGTATCTTCTTCTGAAGACTGCAATTCCTACAATGTAATTACATCCATTTTAATAACGCACAATGAATAAACACACATACAACAGCTCACACTATATAAAAAAGCAGGTTACGGGACGTAACATAATATAAGATAAGAAGGTGACGTAACATAAGATAAGAAAGTGACGTAACATAAGATAAGAAGGGAGGTTTCGCAGAGGCGATGTCGGTCACAAGTACCTAAATAATTAATTAATTAGAATATTTAATTTATGATTTTATAATGCTTGGATATGCTGGAGACTGACTTTTTTTGACAGATAAAGTAAACTTTTCTTTCTGTATACCAATGTTAGTGTGCAATATACATAAGTCTCAGATCCACTGGAACACTAAATTGATTGTATCTTAAGAACTCTTCATAGTTCTTTACCTTGTCTCTTAATATTTACCATATTAAATTGTTTTTCCTTCCTTCAGTTGGGAGTGCTTTCTCTAATATTTGTTTTCCTCCTCTTAATGATAAATTAATGCTTAAGTCATAAGTAAGCTCCCTAAACACAAGGCTTATCCTGTGAACTCTATCTAACACTGCTGCATTGCTCTGCTCTGATGCCTATGCTTCTAACTTCTGGATAGCCCTCTCAATTTGATTATACAAATACTCTTTTTTTTAAATTTTTCTCTTATTCATCTTTTTAGATGCTAGCTCATAAATGAAAGTGGTTAATAAAATATCGCTATGTTGATTTGTCCTAATTTCTTTCAACAATTTTTTTTTTGTATATTCATTTCAATTTTTCTCTGTATGTTTAATATTTAGGCCCATGTTTAAAATTTGTTATTATTGCTTCTGTCTTTTTTGTTTGTTTACTTCTTGTGCTTCTCTCTTTTTGTATTTATCTAGTTATATAGATTTTTATTCTTAGATGTATGTCAATTTAATTGTAAAACTTTATGATAGTAATTATGATACCCACAGGAGGAAGTGATATGTGCCAAAAGGGAAGCAGATACAAAAGAATTGCAAAATCGTCTGGACAGAATGGGCTCTACAGTAGGCGAAGCAATGGCTGGGTTGAAGACAGATGTTGGTGATCTCAAACAGTGGATTCTCTGTGAGCGTACTGAACTGGAGTGCCTTATATCGCAGATTCATGAAGCTTGGTCTCGACAGCATGACTCTCTTTTAAAGGTAAAAGTTTTTTATTTGCATTTTAAATCTCAATAACATTATGATAATATTGAATTATGCTTATGATTTTATTAATAATTTAATTATTTTAGGAAGCTTTCAAAACAAAGTCTAGTATCTGTGAAGGAGTACCAATTTTTTTGTTTTATCACTTACTAGATATGTAATGTATTAATTGTTCAATTATGCAATATAAAAATTATAAAATTGTAATTTCTATTTTTTTTAGGAAATTGATGAAAAAAAATGGGCTCTAGAGAAGTTAAACCAATCTAGAGATAAACTTGCAAAAGAATTAAGCAGATTACAAGAAGAAATAAAAGTTAAAGAAAAAATGAGGACTCAAGATAGCAAGCCAGCTGCAGTGTTAAAAAAAACTAATGTAGACCCAAAACCTCGCCATGCCACTCGTAGTGTGTCTGAGTCTCATATTGGCTTTGCTGAGGTTTCAAAATTTAATTTTTATTTCGTTTCTGAACTAATTTATTTATAAGACGCCTCTCATAACCTAAAATAGAAATATTAGGACTTTCTCATGTTTTTTTTTTACCTTTTGGTTAGCTATATAGACATGACTTTGTAAAAGTTTTTGAATTTATTAATAAAAACATTAACGCTTTGACTGCGGGTGCTCATTCGTGAGTTTCTACCATACGTTGCATTCTGAAATCAAAGATGTAAAAAAATTTTTTTTTTTTTGCATAAATTTGTTTAAAATGCTATTTTGAGTCACCCTGCAACATCTTAGCTTTCAAAAATGCATTTTTGAATAATAATAATGTTATTACTCAACTTTAAAAAAACAGTATATATGCCTTCCCGCAATGCATATAGCACTTATACATGCACATAGCAGTACAAATTCGAGGGGTGATCCCGCAACACCACTTTTTTGCGTATTTGCTCATTTCTGAAAAGCAAAATAACTGAAAATGATCACAAAAGTAACTGGAAGTGATCATAAAAATTAAATTTCATTATTTCCAAAAAAAGGACACCACTAAATTTTATTAATGCACTTACATTTACTTTGAGTTTTAAATACTTTTATATATCAAATACTTTGAGCAATATAAAAAATAAGAAATTTTAATATTGGATGCTTTATTCTCTGTGCATAAAAAAAGATGGAAAGGGCGAAGCTGTGTGTTATTCTTGGTAACTGGAACTAATTGTTAGTATTTGGTATCCAAATGAGGAAAAACGTGAAATGACCTAATGACAATCAAATTGCTTCGAAATCATCTTTCTAGCTTATGAAATGGTCTTCACCATAATAAATCTCCATCGTCCAAACTGCCCCAGCATTTGACCTTCTTTTAACAGCTCCTTGAAATATTCTGTTCATCTGTCTATTATATATTTGTTTAGCCATATAATGGATACTGATCCTTGTTCTCTTATCCGAGATTTTGACAATTCCTTTCTCGTTCGCTTAATATATTTTTCCAATTTTTGTGTTCAATTTCACGTTTTCCCTCATTTGGATACCCAATACTAATAATGAGTTCCGTTTACCAAGAAGAACATACAGACAGCTTTGCCTTTTCCATCTTTGTTTGTGCATAGAGAATAAAGCTTTTAATATTAAAATTTCCTAGTTTCTTATGATATGGTCCAACCTCCGAAAAAAATAAAGGTAATAAAGAAATTAAATTAACTTTTTTGTAGTGATATATGAGTTTTATTAAACAACCCGGCAACTATTCATTATATGAACTTCAGATTAAGTATATATTTTAGTTTATGAAACAGGTATTAATATGACTCATTTCTGAGAAAGTATTTAGAATTTAACTTACCTCTAAGAATTAGTAAATATTCAAAGCAAAATGTTAAATAAAAAATTCAAGATATCCAGCATATTTTTTAATTCAGTTTTATTATTATAATTATATCATTGTTACAAAAGAGGTCCTCTTAAACGACTTCCATATAGAATAAAGGAAGTAATATTAAAACAAAAAAATCGTTGAATTTTATTGGACAATTAAATTATTGCATTAATATTTATTTGTTAATATCATCAATATTATGTACCATAAACGTTATTATAGCCCTTTAGCTATGTTCTATATGAGTACTGAACAAGGCAGAGGCCTGTAAGGCACCTGTGCTAGTACCGCTTTTCCGCCGCTTAAGTGCATTTTCTACAAAACTGCTTCAAATATTTTCAAAAGTTATCAGTGTTCTAGAAATAAATATATATTCTCAAGATGTTTTATTACAGCACGTTTTGCGTTATTGTTGGCCGTTTAAATACAATTGACACTTGATTTTCAATTTTTTTTTTTCAAGAAAATTTTTTTCTTATTATTTTTTTGCACGGTAGGAGGTGTCTGGCCCACCTTGTACAATGAACGTACCAACCAAGCCACAAGTAAAATAGTGATGGCGGGACTTGCCCCTACCTGTTTAAGGGGCGACCACCCAGGCGGGAAGGCATATATCCCGTCCTCACCAGCGACCCAACTCTTATCGGGAAGGCATGTATCCCGTCAGCACTAGTGACCTAACTGTTAACGGGAAGGCATGAATCACATCCACAGTCAAAGAGTTAAACTAATATTTTTTTTCTTAATTTTAACATTTTGTAAGAAAGTAATATTTTTTTCTCTTAATTTTAACATTTTGTAAGTGCTGTTGAGAGAATTGTCAGTCAGGATAGATTTCCGTTAGGAGAGATCACTGTTTACAAATTTATCTATAATTTTTTTTATTTTAAAACTATATGTTGAATATTGTAGGCTAAAATTGTTTCAATATTGGCAAAACATTTTTAATGTGTTTTTTTCCAGTATAAGGACAATACCTCTTTTATTGTATTTTCATTTAACAAAGGAGATATGGCTATGCCCTATGAATATCAAAAGTGGTTCAGCATTGGATAAAATATTGCTAGAATTTCAGATATTTTTTTTTATAAAAGTTGAATGTAAAGTGTGGATACGATATGACATTAGTGTTATGACTTAAAATATGTGGATTTTTTCAATCATATTCAGATAATGGAATATAGCTGAGTAATACTAATGTTATTGCAATTCAACTAACTGCTATAAACATTCAATTCATTTTTAGACATTATTTATCTTCAAATTATTTTTTTTAAGTTGCTATCTTTGTTATTAGGTATTTGTTGCCTTTGTGTAGCATTTACTATATTTCTGACCATACCTGAAAGTACTACTTTTATAGATTTTCATTATAAGCAACATTTTTTATTTAGTGAAGCCCTCAACAAGATTAAAATTATAAATGGTTCAATTTCAGGGTCCAAGATTAGAATTAAAGGATCACGATGAAATAGTGGCTCGATTAAAGGAACAGTTGGCCATAGAAAGGGAGAGAGCTGTCCAGGAAGAAAGAATGAGGTGTGAAGCTAGGCTCAACCAGCAGCTTGCACAGGCTGCCATCAAAGCTGATGCTGACAAGCAGGTCAGTTGGTGGTTTTAGTTGTATATAATATAGTTATCTATTGGTTTATTATTTTCAATAATCAACCATTGTGATCGACCAAAAAATTCAAAAACTTAACCCCCTCTCAAAATTTGAGGTTTCACGTTTCAGGATGCGTAGAATTCGAAAAACGAATAAAAATTTGTTTGTCCGTTAGCGCATTTTCTCCAAAACTACTGGTCCGATTTTTTTCTAATTTTGATATAAAATCAGAGGTCACCCGATGATGATCCTCCTTCCTCAACATTACTATCCGCCTTTTACTTTCAAAATGGCAGCCGAAAAACCTGCGTTGCTAGAGACTGTAGCGCCTAAACGAATGTACCGATTTCAATGAAACTTCGCTAAAGTTATTTTCTCTAGTCCCTTTAAATTTATCTATATAACATACTTCAACGAAAAGAAGCTGGAAAAAAAGTTACGAGGGATGGTAAAAATAAATTCTGAATAACTCAGAAAGTTTACACTCTTTTGTCGACATTGTATATGGTTTTTTAAAAGTTTATGAAATTTCCTAAAAAAACAGGAAAAAAATTATTAAAATCGGACAATTAGGAGCAAAGATATGGTCTCCTATTTTTTTTTTTTTATATGTTCTACTCCAAAAGTTATATCCTTTGTTTGGTTTTTAAATTTTGAATGTGTTACTGAAGTAATGCTATTTTTTTTGTAAGTATATTACTAATGACAGAAAAGAAAAAGTTTAGTCCAATAATTAGAATCACCTTTTATTTATTTTTCTTTATAACTAGAAAGGTAATGTTACTTTAGATGTATTATTGTTTGGAAATAATAAACCATTGTGAAATAATTTACAGCGTTCATAGGTATTGTGTCTTAACAAATATATAAGTTTTTTTTTAATAGTTTGATTTTTTATCAATTGTTAAAGCTAATGTTTCATAAGTCTATTGCAATTTTAAAAAATAGTTCTGGATATTATCTTGAGGGATAATATCCTTTCAATCCTTCCAACTGAATAATAAATTATTCACAGTTATTCAGGAGTAATAGCATTAGTTTAGCAGGTGTATATATAAAAAAAAAAAAAGGCCTCTACCACTATAACCCATGAAAGGTTTTAGGTTCAGTACTTTGTTAGGAAGTATTGTTTCAAGGTCAACGGCTGTGCAGGAATGTGATGAGATCAGGGTCATGCTCAACTGCTAGGTTTTCTCCTTAATTAATTATCAGAATACACACATAGATGCTGGTTGTGCCCCAGGAGGGTCTTCCGATCCTGAAAGAGGATTGATCTATAGCTAATGAAAAATTCTTGACACTAGCTGGATTCGAACCCAGGACCTTGAGCCAAGCAGCTTAATACCTGACTCACTGAGCTATTCTGTTCCTTAGATATATTTTAAACTGTTATTTTCTCTCAATCGTTACTTTGAGAGAAAGGTCCTTTTTTCTCTCCCATGGATTGATCCGACTTTGATATACAATCACACAGTGATTGCATAGTGTTCAGATTTCATAGAGCGAAAATTCACCAAAGTACTTACAATTTGTGATTTGATTTTGTAAAATGTTACTTGATGATTTTTCACAATAAACTGTTCATATTTATATTTTTATCTTATATCTTACTATTATTTTTCTTCAGTTAAAGTTGATTATAAAATGTCTGTTTTTCAGGCTCTGTTCAATGAATCTTTTCGTCGTTTTTTCGACAAAAAATTTGAAAGTATGAGGTCGCTTTCTCAAGACTTTGATCTAAACAGGTCAGATCTTTTTGGAGATCCATCAATGTAAGTATCTAAAAACTATCGTTTTAAACTGATTTTAAATTATTTTCTTTGAATCAATATGGATTTCTATTTCCTTAATACAGTGGTGTTCTCTATCTGTTTTGAGATTATTTGAAAAATTAAATTTCTGATCAGGTTTTCAGATACCATGATGAAAACACCCAGTACTGTTGAGGAAAAAATCAATAAGATTGACTTGGTGAGAAGTATGGCATTATCTTCATCTCCTAAATCTAGACAGAAGGAAGCCAGTCCATCATCCTCAATAGTTACAATGTAAATAAATTCTTTTCTTCTTTTGTTGGGAAGTTGTTGAATTAATTCAAGTTAATTGTTGAATTAATGGAAGTTTTTATTGCCAACCTCAGAATAAAGATATTAACTTGCTAAAGATATTATTATTTAAATATATTAAATATTAAGATATTATTACTTAATGATATTATTAACTTGCTATCTATTAAGATATTTTTAATAGATTAATTAAAATAAGAATATTCTTTTTTGTTTTGATAATTGTTGGATATTTACAGCTTTCCTATTATTGAAAATATTCACTACATAGTGTTTATTAGTTCATGATAAGTTCTCCTCTAATTTAAACAGTCGAAAATTTTGAATCATCATTAACTTAAACTGTACTTAATATTTCAATTGTGTAAATATAGAACACTAGAAATAAAGCAGCACCTAGATAATCATTATTATTGTCAATACATGCTAGGGTAATCCCCATGAGACACCATTGTTATTTAATTAGTTAATTCACAGTTAACACCTCTGCATCCAACATACTGAAGATAAAGGAATCAAGTTATGTGGCTGTTGCCTTAAAGAAATGGTTAAAAAAAGAAAATTAGTAAAGATGATATAGTACACTCAATATTAAATGAACTAAGCATAAGCTCATCAAGTGATTTTCAGAAATAGGTGTTACATGAATTAATTAACTCTTGAGGATGGTGTTCATTCGAAAAAAGGATACTATAATGCGAGAAGCTATTTGTCCTGGTGTTTTTGTGTTTTTCAGTAACACTTGTGTTATCCAGATGCTGAAAATACTTTTGGGGATTTAAAATTAAAATTGAAGACATAAGTGAATCAATACTATGTAACATTGAATAATGGCAGAATGTAATATTGAAGCACTAGTTACCAGCTTTTACTATTGAAATCAAAGTCTTTTTGATCATATCAATGTTCTGCACTATCTCAATATTTATCTACAGAAGGCTATTATTATTGAACAATATCAAAAATTGTGCCATGTATCGATCGTCTAGGGCCAGTTTAATAATGCTTCCTACTTACCATAGCCATTAATATCCTAAAACACTAATCTCAAGAAAGCACTCACTCTATTTGCTTCCTATGTTGAACAATTATCTTATGTTGTAAACATGTGATGTGTGGCTCATTAGCAATCTGTTATATTTTAACTGTTATTTAATTTTAAGTGCATATATATTCAGAAAATGGGAAAGAAGAGAAATTAAATGATTCTCAAAATGAAAGAAAGTCTAGTTAGGCCTATAATAATCTCCATAAAGTAGATTCTTCATAAAATAAATAAAAAAATTATGATTGCTAGACTTATTATTACAATGTTTAATATTGCAGAGAATCTAATCAATCACTAGTTCGTGATGCTGCTACCAGCCCTGAACCGTCACCTAGAAAGTCCCGAGTGTCAAAGGAAAAATTGGTAAGCCTGCTTAACATTATCATTTATTTTAAGCCTATATTAACATTTTTAAATTGAGGCAACCCAGACATTACTGATTTTTTTTTGTAGGAGCAGTTTGTGAATTAATATTATGATAAAATGAAAAAAAAAATCAAAATTATGAAATTTCTTGCTTTAAAAATATCTATTATATAGTTCTTACTTAATACAAAACATAATGAATTGGTTTATATTTAATAAAAGCTTTGGTTATGATAGGTATTAATTTTAAATATTTGGGACTGCCTAATATTACAGGAATTTGTTTGATATATGAACAACAATAATAGTCCCCCGCTAATCGGCATGTTATTAGTTATCTTAAGGCTGGTAATGTTTGAAGTTCCCTTGCGTAAATACGGAAGCATATAAATTTTATAATTTTTTAATATTATCTTCTTACATTGTTAATTTATTTAATCCATTCTGTTGCAGTCTGAAAGTACAAATAGTCTCATTCAACAGGGAAAGATTAGTGTTGGATCGTAAGTTTTCTTTCTATTACCTGAAATAACAATCTATGATTTACATATCATTGGTATTTTATTTTGAATTTCTCGTATTTAGATGTAATGAAGGTGATATAGTCCTGGTAATCTGGGACGAAAATTTTGGAACATACACAATTCTTCAAGAGACAAGTTCTTACACTTATTTTCTTCATTTGGATTCTCTGTGTTTACTAGGCCTTCGAGGTATGTTTGTTTAATTTTATTAATAATTTAGTTAATTTATGTTTTTGTAGTGTATTTTTAGAATGAATTACATTAATTGATTCCATTGAAGATTCAAATACCTAGAAATAATTTCTGATAAAAACAGCTCAGTTAGATTTTATACTAACTCTTAAGCTGTCTATGTGAGAGCTACTCTTTTTAAACTTATTTTGACATATATGAGTCCGTCGTCATCTGGGCCAGATTTTGTCTCAACTCATTTATGAGTTCACTGTTGTTAAAGAGTTAACTTGTTCCATACCCTTATATTTTTTCATATCTAAAAATAACTTTTTTTCTTATGAGACATGTTCAGTTGCAAATTGCTTTCTGGGATTGCAAGTTTTTCAAAATGTATGGATATTTCTAATGTTTGTATATACTTCTGCTTATTTATAATTTTCTCTTGTAGTACCTGAAAAGTTGGAGGATTGTTATATATCAGCTGTCATTCTCTGCCATTTGTAGTCCTGTGTCTATCTGTACTTTTTTTTGGCTGTAATTGTTGCCCAGATTAGAATTCCGTTTTTTAGAGTTTGAGAAATTTTCAAAATTGTCCAATTTGTTTCAAGTAATGCCTTAAATTTTCCTATTTGTTTCTTTGCTAACATTTTCCCTCTTGAAATTTGTTAAATGTAATTCCGTGGAGTAATTCAATCCCTGAGAAACAAACTATTTGTTACTTGCCTCACAACCACTACTGCTTGAATGATTAGCCTTACAGATGAGATACCTTGTATACACTTATTCCCTGAGACAATAGAGGTTTTGGACTAGCTACTGCCAAATTGAATTATCAACCTCATAAAAATGGGTGTGATTGAATCATGATTTTAAGTATAATTTTACAACACAACTGTTTAGGAAAAATGTTTTAAAGGAAAAAATCTAGCTTCAAAAATAAAGTAAAGATATAGTAATTCTTTGTAAAATCTAGTGTGTACTTTCTCTACATAGCTATATTAACATTTATACAACTTATAACTAACATTATGGAAATGACCTTTAGTTTTGTCCAAGCATTCTTTTTATTAGGAAATTATTGTTTTCCTATAAACTTTATTCATCATTATCTGATGGTCCCCAACCCTTAATATTGCCAAACTAAAGATCAATTATAAAAACTCTTCAATCCACAAGTTTTATCAGTCATATTTATATAAAACCTAACTGTTTTTTCTACAACCACCACCTCCTTGGAATTCTTTAAACTCTCCTATATTATTCATCAGAATGAGTTCTCCTTATATCAATCTCCCTGACTATATAAAAAAATCCTGACTCTCCATCAGATTTTGGGCAATAATATATTCTAAGCAAACCTTGACATTCTTATCCCATTCTGAAACTATATCTTTAATGTAATGTTTTTTCTCTCACTAGTAATTCCATTGATGAAATATAAAATTGGTTTAAGACCTACATCCATCCCTGTTTCCAAACTAATATTAGAACCACATCAGGATATTTACTATTTACTTACAAAGTCAGTTAAAAGATTAGAGAGTATTTCCATTTCTAATTTTTTGCAGAGGGTGGAGTGGCCGAATGGGCTAACACGTTGTGCACAGCACCTCGTGTTGCCCGGCAACCTGATAACCAAGATACCGACGACAAAATAATTAAGAATTCGCGTTCCATTGCCATGGGGGTCTTTTAAATCTGGCATTAATCCCCCGGCCCGGGAAAACTCCCGTATAGCCTAAAAAGCGAGGAAGGGGAGAACAAAAAAAAATTTCTAATTTTATCTATTTTCCCTACCATTCTAATTTCTTTTTTTTCTAGCAGCAAATCCACGGAAGCAGTATGTAATTGGTGAAGTGGTTAATAAAGAATATTGCCAGGCTAAGAAGGTATACTTATTTAACCACTTGTAATATGTCAAATCTTAGTTGGTTTAAAATAAAATGTATATTTATTTATGCATGTTGCAGGCTGAGAACAGATATAATGTTCCGGTAGGTTCAAGGTTTTACAGAGTGCGAGTGAGGCCTTTGCATGTAAAGGGACATTCGGCATCTCAACATGCCCATAGTTCATCTTAAACTTCATCTATTATACCATCCCTTTAGCGATCAATAACAGTTTAAAAGTCATGGTCTCATCCTTATAGGTGGGGCATTGTAAGTATAGTCATCTTAAATTAATTCAAATACTGAATTTCAAATAGTTATTCTATATAAAGTTATAGTTAACGAATTAACCTTTTGGTATTAGTTTATATACACCCACATGGACACTTCACACTTATATACCTACAGAACTCATTCACATGTATATATTATTCTTTATTAATATATACATTTATTTATAAATGTTTTATACGTGTAACACGCATATAATTATGTATTGTTTGTACATAAGTTTTAGCAATATATCAGTAACCAACATTTTTTTTTTTTTATGTAGTTTTCCTATTAGTTTAAGAAAGACTTATTTTTTTGTTGATCTTAGAATTATTAAAAAATTGTTGTATTGTCTTGTACATATTATTAAATAATAATATTATCGCAATATTTTTGCATTAGGGAATGTGTAATTTTACTACAATTCTATATTATTGTAAATACTTTTATTTGTTGTTTTTTTTTTGACTGAATAGAAAAGTTTAAAAATACAATATGTCTGTTGTATACAATACTTCTGTATACTTTTTTAATATTTATTTTTAATCTTCAATAGTTCATATATATTTTATGAAACTAATTCCTCAAGTGCCTTTAAACATTTCAAAATAATTTTATTTGAGTTATTCTTATTTAGTATAGCATCACTTTAATGCAATGTTAGCATTGTAATTTAAATTCTTTTGCTGCCAATATAAGTTCCTAGGAATAGTCCTCAGTTAGGTCCTCGACGTTTAAATGCTGAATGTTTTTTCTGTCTCTATTAATCTATCAACTTAAATATTTTCTAATATCTTATTTAATTGAAATTTGGAGCATATTTTATAATCCATTTTATATATTATTGAACATGTGTGCCTGATTTTTATCTATTTGTACCTGATCAGCTACTAGACAGGTGAATTATCTTATTCACGTTCTAATTTCTAAAATGTTTACAAAACTTTTCATACCAATTGTTTTAACACAGTATTAAGTATTGAGATGAATTTTATTTTCATGGGATCAATAATTAAAATCATGTATTGTGTAACTGTTTCAAAGACAATTGTATGCATTCTACTATCTGTTCGGGAATATAGACTTATTTCATGTAATTAATTATGTGCTTCCATTCAGAATGCTTTGATTTTTTGCAATTCGATTAAAGTAATCAATTAATATATAAATTATAATTGAAGATTGTCAAGTAGCTCTTAATCTTGCATGATTGATCGATGAATGAACGGATAAAATTAATGTTATAGGCATGCTTGTGAGTAACACCCTTTTTCATCATAATAAATTCTGCTAAGAAGTAGTGCGCTTTTGTATCCTACGAGTGTATAAAATATGTACGAGTTTATTTTCACTGTGATAATGAAAATGACTACTATCTCTATATGTAATATATAGCTCATATGTGCTAATAAATATCTCCTCGCGCTCATCAGGAGTCCAGTCATGTTATATAAAGTGTGATTTATAGAATTTAATTTTATACTTATAATAAGCATTATTTTTTTTGGCCACTTTATTGCTACCTTTATTTGTGTTGTAACTAATAAATAAAATAGTACTTAATCTGTATTTTTTCTTTATAGGTAATAATGTAATTAAATTATCTAAAACATGGTGATAAAATAGTCTGATAGTGAGTGATAAATACCTAGTTATTATTTAGTATTTTCATGGTAGAATTTATATTGTATTGCAAACTTTTTGTAATTTATAATTATATGTATATATAACTAAAAATTATGATACTTTTTGTAAATAAAATTTGACTTCAATATTTCCTGATAAAAGCTTTATTTTTATGTCTGGGAAACTTGATATTCAGTATCAATCAAAATGACAAGTTAGTCATAATCTTTTTGCATTGTAGGATTGTCTAGTTGTTTAATCAAAAGCTCAAATTAATAATTTTTGTGCGCTTGATATTTTAAGACTTTGCCAACCCACTGTCTTGTAAGTAGTTGTTATTCATAAAAATAGTTTCATGTTTTACATAATAACATATTTCTTTTTTTATTTCTGCTTATTGACTTTTCTTTTTAAATATATTTTTTAAAACCATATGATAATAGTTATTGTTGTGATGTAGTTAACCAAATGAAGATACCAAACAGATAGAAGTTAATAATAAATTTCAAAATGTATAAAATTTATGTCAATAAAGTGATTTTTGTACTTGTGTTATATTCCATTGCCTAATTCATTTAATCTTGTCACCAATACTTTATAAAAATAAAATATTAAAATTTTGTTTTTATTTGCATCACAATAAACTTGAATGGTAGCTAGGGAGGGGGGAGAGAAGAGATGTATAGTGGCGTCATCTTTAACAGTTATCTGACGAAGTTTGAACTAAAGTACCGGAAGCGTAAATAAAGACGAGAGATATATTACTCACAAAATATTATGGATGATTAAACAAAAGTTTAATAGAAAGAGGTAATAAAATAGTTTAATATAAAATAAATTTATAATAAATAAATAAATTTATAATAAATTAATAATTTATAAATTATAAATAAATTTAAATAGTTTAATAGAAATTCTGGAGAGGCAATAAAACAAAGATAAACTATTAATTAATTAAATTTCTCCAACAATTCCTCCAAAAAGTATGGGATACAAAGATAGTCCCAAGGGATTGGGAGTTAAGTGTAATTGTCCCTATTCATAAAAAGGGCAGCTCCACAGATTGTGAAAACTATAGGCCAATAAGCTTACTTTCAGTGGCTTACAAATTATACTCCTCAATCTTAGAAAGAAAATTAAGGCTCGTAGTTGAGAACCAAATTGAGAACGAACAAGCAGGCTTTCGTCCGGGGAGGCAGACTCAAGATCACATTTTCGTGCTAAGAGGCATCGCAGAGAGAGCATGGGACAGAGACAAGAATATATATATGGCATTTCTGGACCTCAAAGCAGCATTTGACTCTGTTCCAAGACAAGAAATATGGGATGCTTTGGCGGCAAAAAATGTTCCAGGTGATCTTATCATGGCAATTAGATCAGCATATAAGGCAGCAAAAGGAATGGTAAGGATTAATGGTAGAGAGTCCAAGCCTTTTCCCATGGAGAGAAGAGTCAGGCCAGGAGACAGCCTAAGTCCCCTCTTGTTCATCATATTTATGGATGAAATCCATAAAATTTGTAAGTGTAGGCCACGTTGTCCAACCATCTCGTCCTCGGCCTTCCTACCCGTCTTACGAGGTGCAGCTCCTCCATCATTATTTTCTTTGGTATTTCAACGGTGCTCATTCTGGCCACATGCCCTGCCCACCTTAGTCTGGCCAGTTTAATATACATGACTACGTCGATGTCTGTATAGAGAGAACTGAGCTCCCTATTTTTTCTTTTCCTCCAGACATCACCCTCCTTTACTGGACCATAAATCCTTCTGAGGACTCCTCGCTCAAACACACTCAGCTTCATCTCATCGTTTTTAGTCATCGTGCAAGCCTCTGAGCCATATGTCAAAACAGGCCGAACAAGGGTCTTGTATATGATCAGCTTGGTCTTCTTTGAGAGGTACCTACTTCTTAAGTGTCGGCCAAGTCCAAAGACACATCTATTGGCAGCCGTGATCCTTCTTTGTATTTCTTGAGCCATGTCATTTTTGCTATTAATTTCAGACCCAAGGTATATAAAACTTTTCACTCTCTCAAACTTAAAGGAACCTACCTCAAATGGAGAGTTCAGATCCACCTCACCACCAACTCTCATATACTTAGTTTTCCTCTCATTTACTTCTAGACCAAGTGGTCTTGCAGCTGCTTCAAGGCCTATAAACGCTTCTCTGAGAGCCGGTTCAGACCTACCTATTATGTCAATATCATCAGCAAAACCAAGAAGCTGTGTCAGGCGATTGAAGATTATATCGTTGGTCTGAATACCGGAGTCTCTTACAGCATTCTCCTCTGCCAAGTTGAACAATAGACAGGCGAGGGCATTCCCTTGCCTAACCCCACTGCTCACTTTAAACTCTTCGGAGTCGTCAGAACCGACGCGTATTTTACATCTCGAGCTGTCCATGGCCATCTTGATTAGGCGTACGAGCTTCTGAGGGATGCTTAGCTCCTCCAAGGCACAGTATAGTTGCGTTCTATCAACGCTGTCGTATGCTGCTTTAAAGTCTAGGAATAAATGGTGGGTGACTACCTTACGCTCCATAGTCTTTTCTAGTATCATCCTCAGAGAGAACAGTTGATCAGTGGTTGAGCGTCCTCTTCGAAATCCAGTCTGATATTTCCCCAGTTCCTTTTCAGAATACGGGAGGATCCTCGCAAAAAGAATGTTAGAGAGCAGCTTATAAGCACACGAAAGGAGTGAGATTCCTCGATAGTTAGCGCATTCTGTTTGATCTCCTTTCTTATGTATTGGGCAGATAATGGCTGTTGCCCATTAAGTAGGCATAGCTTCCCTCTCCCAGATGGTCAGCATTAAATCATGTAGAGCTTTCTTGAGTTCTTCACCTCCACATTTCAACAGCTCTGACTGGATTCCGTCCGGGCCTGGCGCCTTTCTATTTTTCAATTTCATCAGGGCGTTTTCCATTTCCTCCTCATCCGGGGATTCAATAGACTTCAGGGAGTCTTCCTTCATTACTCCTACTTCTCCAGGCACCATTCCTCTGTTTAATGTGTCTTTGAAATGTTGTACCCATCTCCTTAGTACTTCATCTTTGTGGCTTAAAAGAGTTCCATTCGTGTCTTTGCATGCCGTCACTCTGGGCCTGAAAGCTGCCCTACCCTTGTTTATTCTCTGAAAGAACAGCCGACTTTGATTTTGGCCGCACAATGCCTCTGTGTTCTCCATGTTCTTATTTTCCCAAGCTCTTCTCTTCGCGTCTTTTTCTTCGATATGTTTCTTGTTAGAGCCTTCTGGGACGCTGAACCTTCTTTCTGTAGGCTTCATTTTTCACTTTTACTGCTTGAAGGCACTCAGCATCAAACCATGGGAGCCTTCTAGATTTAGTCTCGTATCCAAGAGATTCTTCTGCTGCCTGTTTCATTGCGTTGCTGCATCTCTTCCACTGTTCATCGACCATAGAGCTGTCATTAATTACTTCTTCATTAAGTTTCGTCTCCACAGCTTGTTGATACGAATATTGGTGGTCTGAGTCCTTAAGTTTAGCTACATCGATCTTGTTCTTTGGTCGTTGGTGGTGGTTTTTAATCAGCGAAATTCGTGATCTGACCTCGGCAATGCTCAAATAGTGATCCGTGTCCATATTTGCACCTCTATAAGATCTTGCATTTATCATGTTGGACTTGTGACGGGCACTAATGAGTAAATGGTCTATCTGTGATGTTGTTTGCCCATTTGGAGAGGTCCATGTTGCTTTGTGGATATTCTTTCGAGGAAAAAGAGTTGTTCCAACAACCAGTCCGTGCAATGTAGCAAAGTTCACCATCCGTAGCCCATTATCATTACTGGTCTCATGCAAGCTGTGGGTTCCTATGGTCAGCATGAGTGCCACCTCCTTACCAACTTGGGCGTTAAAGTCACCAAGAATGATTTTAACATCATTTTTGGGGCAGCTTTCTGTCACGCGTCCAAGTTCTTCATAAAATGTTTCCTTATCCTCCTCAGGTGACACCTCTGTTGGGGCATGGCAGTTGATTAGAGAGAAATTAAAAAATGTTCCTCTAAGCCGAATGTAGCATAACCTTTGGTTAATGGGAGTAAATCGCATCACTAGCTGTCGAGCTCTGCCTCTCACAACAAATCCGGTACCGAAGATATGATGCTTTTCATGGCAGCTATAGTAGAGTGTATGGTACTTCTTCTCCATAATTCCCTGTCCTATCCATCGGACCTCTTGGATAGCTGCTATGTCGATTCTGTATGTGTCCACTTCTCCAAGGAGCGCAGGAAGTGCTCCTAGTCTATGTAATGATAAGATCCATCCAATTCTTCCAAGATCCATTCCAAAATCCAATTCTTAGGTCATTTAGGCGTTTCCTGGGTCTGTTACCGTAATTCAGTCCGGCTTCTTCTCTTTGAGGTTTCGTAATAAGGTACTTTAGGGGGGGAGGGTTATCAGCCCACTGCCCCCGAGTCAGGTAGAGGGGCTGTCTCCTCCGAGCATCCAGGTCAGTGATAAGTTGTGGAATGATTTTGACAGAGGTGTTGTGTGTGGAAAAATTAGGTCCTAAACTTAAAATATTAATAACTTTAGAGGGGATGTCTGTGGAAGAGATATTGTCTACCCATTCTTCTTTCCCTGCAGGATAAACTTTATTTTTAAGAGTGATTTGGTACAAATTTTTGAACTTGGAAATTAGTATAAGTTTCTTCTGTGCTTTAGTGGAATTAAAGATATCGGAAATGCAAACGGAGAGATTATTGACGTCTTCTTAATTGATGTTATGATCTAAAAATTGGGTGAGAACTGAAATTTGTTTATGGAGAAAATTAATATTCTGAATAGTTTCGCGGATTTTTAAGTTAAGCAAATATTTTTTAAATTTAAAAGCGGAAGTTAATAATTTGACTATGAAGACTTTTAAACCGTGAACAATCATTTATACATTTAAATTAAATCATATATTCAAGAAAAGTTGCAATACGCTGGTCTAATCAATTTAAATGCATCATATATACAAGCTATAATTAATTTTTGTGAACACTTTTATTTTTAATTTCATTTTAACCGGTCATGTCTCGACTCTGACTAGTAAGGATAAACGGAGTAGTATTGTGGTTGAAACAGTTTTTACATTTAAAGTCGTAGGTCAGTTTATGAGATGTTTTTTTTTTTTTTTTTGTATCTGTTTATTGAGTAATAATACATTATGAGATGTTTATTATTTAAAATAAAAAATAAATTGTTTATCGATTATATAAATAAAAGCAATAGTATGATTTTGCAAGGAGATGGAAGGTTGAGAGATTTCATTCCGTGTTACCAAATACCAACAACTCATTCCATGAAATTATTTTTGAACCACTAAGTGTTTTTCAATTTCGAATTAATTAAATATTTATTACATGATAAGAATGTTCCTCATTTTTAATAAATAGAATATGAAGACAAATTTTTTAAAATTTAATTTTTGTTTTATTTATATATTTTTTTAACATATAATTATGTCAAAGGGAGAGATTGTAAATAAAATATAAAGATAGAGTAATTTATATATCAGATAAAAAAATAAGATAGAATTTTGTTTTTTAATGCGAATAAATA